ACACCTCTCTCACCTTCCTGGACCTCTCTGTCTCCATATCGGGCAACCACCTAGAAACCGACATCCATTTCAATCCCACCGACTCTCACAGCTACCTAGAATACACCTCCTCCCACCCACCTTCCTGCAAAAATGCCACCCCTATTCCCAATTCCTTCACCTCCGCCGCATCTGCTCCCAGGATGAGGCATTCCACTCCCGTACATCTCGGACGTCCTCGTTTTTCAAGGACAGCAAACCCACCGCCCCCGCCCCACCCCCCACCAGTGGTCGAGGACGCCCTCGACCGTGTCTCCCGCATTTCCCGCAACTCATCCCTCACATCCCCTCCCCGCAATAACAACCAAAACAGAATCCCCCTCGTCCTCACGTACCACCCCACCAACTTCCAGATCCAACGCATCATTCTCCGACACTTCCGCCATCTGCAATCCAACCCCACAACCAGAGACATTTTTCCCTCCCCACCCTTATCTGCTTTCCGGAGGGACCACTCTCTCCGTGACTGCCTTGTCCGCTCCACACTCCCCTCCAGCCCCACCACACCCGGCACTTTTTCCTGCAACCGCAGGAAGTGCTACACCTGCCCCTACACCTCCCCCCTCACCCCCATCCCAGGCCCCAAGAAGACTTTCCACATAAAGCAGATGTTCACCTGCACATATGCAAATGTGGTATACTGTATCCGCTGTTCCCATTGTGGCCTCCTTTACATCGGGGAAACCAAGCAGAGGCTTGGGGACGGCTTTGCAGAACACTTACGCTCGGTTCGCACTAAACAACTGCACCTCCCAGTCGCGAACCATTTCAACTCCGCCTCCCATTCCTCAGACGACATGTCCACCCTGGGCCTCCTGCAGTGCCACAACGATGCTACCCGAAGGTTGCAGGAACAGCAACTCGTATTCCGCTTGGGAACCCTGCAGCCCAATGGTATCAATGTGGATTTCACAAGCTTCAAAATCTCCCCTCCCCCTACCGCATCGCAAAACCAGCCCAGCTTGTCCCTGCCTCCCTAACCTGTCCTTCCTCCCACCTATCCCCTCCTCCCACCTCAAGCCCCACCCCCATCTCCTACCTACTAACCTCATCCCGCCCCCTTGACCTGTCCGTCTTCCCTGGATTGACCTATCTCCTCCCTACCTCCCCACCTACACTCACCTTTACTGGCTTCATCCCCGCCTCTTGGACCTGTCTGTCTCCTCTCCACCTATCTTCTCCTCCTATCCATCTTCTATCGGCCTCCCCCTCTCTCCCTATTTATTTCAGAACCCCCTTCCCCTCCCCCATTTCTGAAGAAGGGTCTAGGCCCGAAACGTCAGCCTTCCTGCTCCTCTGATGCTGCTTGGCCTGCTGTGTTCATCCAGCTCTACACCTTGTTATCTCATTCTCCAGCATCTGCAGTTCCTACTATCTCTGGAATTTGTGATCATTTGTTTTCAATATTACATTTGTGCATATCATGGGATGAAAGAATCTTCATAGATTTGTGTCAGGGCAGAAAAGAAGTACAAGCACAGATAATTATGTATTGAATTAATTTGCATTTGATGTAACTAGTGTATAACTTTATATTATGTTAAAAATGTGATGCAGCTGTCTAAATTCAGCCTATTCTGGAAAGTTATTTCCCAGCAATGCATTATTATGAATTAAGGAAATCTCTGGAGTGAATTTCCATGGGGCAAAAACAGTTGAGCTTTACCCGACCACTTCTAAAGAATAATTCTTATTTAACTTCTGAGGTGCAGAGAAAATCCTCACCCTCTTCACTGATCTCACTTGGCACCAAATCCATATTGTAAAATTTAACAACATCGCCTTCACAAACTGACTCGACTGGAAGCTGAATTTAAAGGGGCACTAAATACAGTTAGTTAGGTTTTTAGGATTGGTTGTGAATAGCACAATTTCCCAACTAGTTCTGAACTTCAATTTTGTTCAGTTTCTTCTTTCCCTACCCAACCCTGTAGATTCCACCTACTCTGCTGTTGCCTTGGTTAAGAGCTGATGTGTTTTGCTTATTTAGAGACAAAGGGAGAGTTAGTCGTTGTAGTAAGGAAACAAAGCATTTTTCCAGAGTATGTGACAGAATAATGAACAGCTATGTCCAAAAGCAAAAGCAGGTAAAACAAGACTAAGACCAGCATGTGGCAAAATAAATAGAGTTGATCTGGGGAACAAAGATTGTTTTGAGATATGTACTACACAAAAGCAAAATACTGTGAATGCTGGAGATCTGAATTCAAAAAAAGTGTTCTGGAGAATCTCAGCAAGTCTGGCAGCATCAGTGGTGAGAGAAATATTTGATGTTTTGAGTCCAAGTCTTGGAACTCAAAATGTTAACTCGGTTTCTCTCTCCAATTATGCTGCCAGCCTGCTGAGTTTCTCCAGCACTCATGTGTCTATTTGCAGACAGGTGTCATGGTCTGACATTGTTGAACTCAAGATGCTTTACACCCTCTGGACTCAAAATATTATCTGAAGATGAGGTGCTGTTTCTTGAGCCTGCATTCAGCTTCATTGTAAAATTCTGGTAGGCTGAGGACAGAAATTTGAGCTTGACTGCAAAGCAGTAACTTAAAAAGGCTAGCAACTGGAAGCTCGAGAGTATGCTTGCGGACTGAATGCAGGTGATTTGCAAAGTGATCACTCAAACTGTATTTGTTTTCCCATTGGAGGGAGCAAACACCGTGCACTTAATGGAAAATAAAAAGTGCAAATAAATTGCACAAATATTTTGAGTCACTTACACAAGATTTAACATGTCCTTGCATTTTAGCAAATGTTCCAAAATGGGAACATGTTCCTGTGGTCAGAACCTGAGTGAGTTAGGCATGTACACTCGAGTTTAAAACAATGAGTGATGACCTCATTGGAATAGACCAGATTCTGAATGGGCTTGATAGACATTCAAATGTTTCCACCAGCAATTTATGGAGATAGTCCTAAGTGATCAATTGCACATCCTGAGACTGAGATAAGGAGAAATTTCTTCACTCAGGGTTGTCATGGTCGTTGTTAATTACATGACTCAGATTTTTTTTTGTGACTCGGAATCAAAGGCTGTGGGGGGTGGGCAGGAAAGTGGAGATGAGGCATAACATTAGGGTTGATAATATTGAATGATAGAACAGGCTTGAAGGGCCCTTTTGCTTTTCTGCTGTATTTCTTGTGTAACGTACAAAGAACAATCTCAAATCCATTTGGTTGATTTTATAGCATTGTTTCTCATTAAACCTAAAACTGCAGCTTTTGCTGTCAGAGTATCCTAATCTGTTTATATCTGTCACTGCTATCGTGGAGGGTTCTGCAAACTATTTGCTGTTCCATTTAACTAATTTCTCTGATATATCAGATTAATGTTCACAGCATGATTTTAGCTTCCATCATGGAGCATTAATATATAGTAGTGCTGATTGAGTTTATTAGAGCTGGACAATTATTTTGGTTCTAATGGTTATTAATTTTGTTATAATACAATAGTGCTTCCAAAAAAATGGCCAATAAGTCATGAAATTATGTAGGAGGAGGTAAATTGATGTCCAGTCCGAAAGTGAAGGGAAAAGAACAGTGTGACATGGGCAGGATGGGAACAATTAGAGATGAAAGACTTCTGGTTGCATATCTATGTAGCATAATAGATAAAACAAGTGAACTGGACAGACAAATCTAACTTAACGATAATGTACTAGCTATCGTCTATACCTGTGTAAAAGTTGAGGTTCTAAAACTAAAATTTTAGCCAAATAGTAGGCAGTTGGCTTTTACATGTTTTTAGATGAGTCGGAATCCAACCTCTACCATCATCTCACTCTTTTACGGTTGCCAGACTGGACACTGTTCCCACTAAAATTGCCCCTAAACGTGCAAAATAAGTCAAAAAGTATATTATTGTAACTGCCATTACTTCCTGATGCCATGTTGCTGTATTAGTGAGTGGAATTGACTAAAATGCAGTGGTCCCAGTGAGATAGTAGACTTGACATTGCCTGTCGATGTGCACAGACACAAGGAGCTAAACAGCAGCCTTCAATTGTGTTCTATTCTGTCTATGATTTTACCAATGAGCAGATTCACAGGGTGAGTGGGTAGTGAGTATAAAGAGTTTGGATTCTTTTGGCTAAAAGTCAGGAGATGACGTGCACAGGATTTACTATTAGTTGAATATATACAATATTACAACTAAAATCTGATTGGTAAATATTCATATTATAGGATTTTTATAAAGGGCAATGAAGTTGTGAAAGAAAAGGATGTAACAATGTTGATAGATACAATGATCACAATTGAAAGATGTGATTTCAGCAAGAATGTGTAAATGGTGGAAACAGTATGGGTAGAATTAAGGATCAGTAAAGGACAAAAAGACCCTGGTATGAATTGTCTACAAATGTTCTGATAGAAATAATGAGGGTGTATTAATACAGAGATCAGGGAAGCAAATAGCAAAAAAGGTGGTTATCATGGAAAATTTAAACATACAGACAGGCTGGAAAAGCTGAAATGGTAAAGACAATTTACTTCTGCACATTTTAAGTGTCAAAGGAATATAGTATATTGGATTTAGTGTTGAGTACAAAACCATTATTATTTAACAATCTGATGAAGGAGAATTGCATAATTAGTGGTAATAATGATTGCGTTCTGATACTATGTTTGAAAAGGAGAATCTTAAATCAAGACTTCAGACTTAAGTACAGAAAACTTTTCAGAGGTGAGAAATAAATTGACAACAATAAAAGATTTCAAGATACAAATCAACTGTGAACACAATAGTGAAACTATCTTGAGGGGCTGAATGATATATCCTATTTATAACTTATACTAAGTACCTAGATCCTCAAGTTTTAAAAATGGCAGAAACTAAGGCATTATGGTTTCTCTTCCTCTGTACATAGTATTTTAATAAATGGGGCATATTTAAAAGCATGAATCAGTAGTGAAGCAAATATAAATAAAAACCTGTTTTTTGTGTGATTTTCCATATTTTTTTTTAGGTGAAGTCCGTGATCAACCTTCTTTTTGCTGCTTATACTGGAGATGTGTCTGCACTCAGAAGGTAATATTTAGAGTTTCAAAGATTACTTCACAAATGAGGCTACATGTCGTGTTTAGCCAAATAGAAATAGTGCATGGACTTGTTTTTGCAAATGCCTCTATAAAATAATCTGAATGTTAAATTATTTTGTCAGTATAATACAGCCCAAAATTCTATAAGTTTTCAGTATCCGCAATAGGCAGAAAACCCACTACTTCTGTCTAGAATTGTTGAATTCTGTGCATGTTCAGCCTTCCCTTTGTGAATAACCAATCTCAGTTGACAGTTGAAGAACAAAAAAAGGATTTAATAAATCAGTTATTATTATCATTACCAAAGAGCTATTACAAAATCCAGTCTCTTGGTCACAAATCAATGTAACTGCTAAGCTGTAGAACTGCAACTGTATTAACAATTTTGGCCCACTGATTACAGTAGATTAAAGAGAATTATAGCAGACATTGAGTTTTGTTTGCCATAGCAATAAATGCTATCACTGAATAACTGTAGTTCCTGTCTGTTGAGGTCACACTTTGAGTGTAATTTTAAGCTTCATGTTTTGGTGCTATTTTAGTTACTGTATTTGTGAAAAGTTGTTTTCTTAAGCATTGTAAGTGGATATGGTTGAATGTAATGAGCTGTTAGTGTACTAAAACCATTGTAACCTTGTTGAGTATTTTTCTACTTTCTCATTTGTTGAAATCTTTTATTCATAGCTCTATCCATTTGTTTTTGGCTCTATTCTTTTACCAAGTCTGTCATAACTGAGAAAATAAAATGCTGATTGTGAGTTACAAATATTGTAATTTGAAAGCTATGAATTTCTGCAGTGTAACTTTAATCTCTTAATGCTGGAGTATCATGTGCTGTATTTACAAAATATTCTGACATACGTAGGAGCATAGTGTCATACAGCATGGAAACAGATCCTTCAGTCCAACCACTCCATGCCAAACATGATGCCAAACTGAACTATTCCCACCTGTCTGCTGCTGGCTAATATCCCTCCAAACCTTTCCTATTCATCTAGTTATCCAAATGTCTTTCAAACATTGTAATTGTACCCACATTCACCATTTCCTCAGGAAGACTATTCCATAAGTAAACCATCCTCTGTGTGAACAAAAAAAAATTGCCCCTCATTATTTTAAAAATCTTTCTCCTGTCACCTTAAACATGTGCCCCCTCGTCTTGAAATCCCAATCCTAGTAGACTATTCAACCCATCAAGCCTGTTCCAGTACAATCATGACTGATCACAGACTTCACTGTCTTTTATTCGCCCCATCCACACAACTCTATATGCCAATGGTAATCAGAAATCTATTGATCTTTACCTTAAACATATTCAAAGACTGAGTCTCCATAGTCAACTGTGGTAGAGAAGTGCAAAGGTTCACAACTCTCAATAAAATAACTTATCATCATTTTGGACCTTAGAGCTATCCCCTTATTTTTAAATTGTGCCCCCGGGTTTTAGACTCTATTCAGGACAAACTCTTACCTGTATCCACTCTGTCTATCCTATTTTGTAGGTTTTCAATGAGATCACCCCTCAAACTCGATAGAATACAAGCATAGAGACATAGAGCTGTACAGCATGGAAACAGACCTTTCAGTCCAACTCATCCATAGTGGTCAGATATCCTAAATAAATCTAGTCCCATTCGGCACATATCCCTCTAAATCCTTCCTATTCATGTACCCATCCAGATGCTTTTTAAATTTTATAATTGTACCAGCCTCCACCACTTCCTCTGGCATCTTGTTCCATATATGCACCACCTCTGCATGAAAATGTTGCTCCTTAGGTCCCTTTTAAATCTTTCCCCTCTCACCTTAAACTTATGCCCTCTAGTTTTGGACTCCCTTACCCCCGGGAAAAGACCTTGTCTATTCATCGTATCCATGCCCCTCATGATTTTATAAACCTCTATTAAGGTCACCCCTCAGCCTCCGATGCTTCAGCGAAAATAGTCCCAGCCTATTCAGCCTCTCCCTATAGCTCAAACCCTCTAAACCTGGCAACATCCTTGCAAATCTTTTCAGAGCCCTTTCAAGTTTTGCAACATCCTATAGCAGGGAGATCAGAATTGCATGCAGTATTCCAAAAGTGGCCTAACCAATGTCCTGTACAGCTGCAACATGACTTCCCAACTCCTACACTCAATGCACTGACCAGTAAAGGCAAGCATACCAAATGCCTTCTTCACTATCCTATCTACCTGTTACTCCACTTTCAAGGAACTATGAACCTGCACTCCAAGGTTTCTTTGTTCAGCAACACTCCCCAGGACCTTACCATTAAGTGTATAAGTCCTGCCCTGGTTTGCCTTTCAAAATGCAGCACCTCACATTTATCTAAATTAAACTCCATCTGCCACTCCTTGACCCCATTGGCCCATCTGATCAAGGTCCCATTGTACTCTGAATCTTCTTCACTGTTCACTACACCTCCAATTTTGGAGTCATCTGTAACCATACCTGCTATGTTCACATCCAAATTATTCATATAAATGACAACAAGCCGTGGATGGTAAGGAAAAGCCAAGGAACAATAGACTGGTGAGCCTCATATCAGTGGTGGGCAAGTTGTTGGAGGAGATCCTGAGGGACAGGATTTACATGTGTTTGGAAAGGCAAGGACTGATTAGGGATAGTCAGCAAGGTTTTGTGCGTGGGAAATCATGTCTCACTAACTTGATTCAGTTTTTTGAAGAAATAACAAAGAGGATTGAGGGCAGAATGGTGGATGTGATCTATGTGGACTTCAGTAAGGCATTCAACAAGATTCCTCATGTAGACTGGTTAGCAAGGTTAGACGACAAGGAACATAAGGAGAACTAGCCATTTGAGTACAGAACTGGCTCAAAGGTAGAAGACAGAGGGTGGTGGTGAAGGGTTGTTTTTCAGACTGGAGGCCTTGATCAGCAGTGTGCCATGAGGATTGGTGCTGGGTCCACTGCTTAGTTTACCCAACCTGTCCTCTAGGGACAGTCTTGCCACGCTGGAAATGCACGGGGTGAACCTTTGTTGCACTTCCTCTGTGGCAATATCTTCCCTGAGATATGGCGACACAAACTGCACATAGTACTCTTGCTGCTGTATAACCAATCTCTCTTGTACAGTTGAAACAATACGCCACTACAAATTTAAAATATCACTTTAAAATAGTCTTTCCTTTCCCAAAACATGCGATTGCATTTTTAAAACATGCCTATTTTGCAGTTACTTGATTAAACATCACGCTAATGTAGCTCACTCAAAGATAGTAAGAACTGCTGATGTACTAATCTGTTCAGCTTCAACTTGTATTTTAAAATTCCAAATATGGAGGATACATGCAATGCCTTCTGATTAGCCCAGAATTTGTCTCAAACCAATAATGACCAACATTCTGTACTGACTGAAAGGGAACTTGTGGTTCATTTGCAGCCAATGGCACACCTGCCACTCTGTCTGTGGATAATATTCAGAGACTGCAGCCCTCTCTCTCTCTATATGAGCTTGACTTAATAGACTGCCAATTCAGGATGGTGTGTTTTTGTAAGAAGAAAGTTCTTTTTCAAAAACAAGATTTAATTATGTACATCGGGTTGCTTTATAATAAATGAGACTGCTAAAGTAACCACAAGCCAAAATAAAAATGACTGTCTCACAAGGCCTCTAACATAAAATGAAGTTAATTAGCTCTTCCACATTAACCAAGTGGAAATAATTATAGGAATAGATGGTCACATGAAAAAGTGACCACAGCCTGAGAAACCAGAAAACATTTAGGTTCCACATACATTAACAGTTTGCATTTAAAATAAAATCTTGTGGATTATTTTAATTTAATATAAACAGAAACATAAGGCAATTTAATGTTTTTGTTTTAGACCAAGAAACTATCAAAAACAGTTATCCTTATTTTTGTTCCAGATTTGCTTTGTCTGCCATGGACATGGAGCAGAGAGACTATGATTCACGAACAGCACTGCATGTAGCAGCTGCAGAAGGTAACTTTCACTTGCAGAGGTAACAAGCCCTGAAGAGTCAGGTTATCTAGCTCAGAGTGTAATTGCTGTGTTTTGATTTATAGGTCACGTGGAGGTGGTTCAGTTTTTGTTAGAAGCATGCAAAGTAAACCCATTTCCTAAAGACAGGTGAGTTGGTCATAATCTAACGGTATTTAAGTTGCATAAAAGCAGTAAATTGTGCAAAGACTAGCCTTTAAATTAAGTCGCACTAACTTGATATAAAACCACTAGAAACTGCCTTTCTTGCATAGCTTCTCCAGCAATTTCTGTGGAGAGGAACAAAGTGAACATTTCAAGTCCAATGTCTTTTCTTCAGAACTGAAGGGGAGGGTTGGGGGAGGTGTGAAAATGATAGGTTATTACTGTTGGAAGAAGTGAGGAGGAGCCAGTAGAACAGAAGCTTAGGTCAGGAAAAGATGTTGCAAACCAAAGGACAAGGAGTCATAATGGTTCTATAAAATAGACAAAGATCCAGAAAAGGTGTTAATATCAGAATATTGGCTGGCTCTGCTGTAAGCAAAACCATAAACAAGATGTTAATGGGGTGTGTAATCAAAGTGGGGGCGTTGTTCACGGTCCAAAGTTGTTGAATTACCATTGAGTCGAGAAGGCTGTAAAGTGCTATTCCTCTATTTTACACTGGTCTTCACTGGAACAGGCCTAGGACAAAAATATGAATGTGAGAGCTGGAGTGTGTATTGAAATGGCAGGTACCTGGAAAATCAAGGTTATGCTTGGGGACCGAGCAGAGGTATTTGACAGAGCAGTCACCCAATTTGTGTTTTATCTCCCTGATATAGAGAAGACAGCATTGCGAGCAGTGGTTTACAGAAGACTAGATTGAAAGAAGTACAAATCAATTACTGCAACTTTGGAAGGATTTTTTTTGGGGCTTTGGGTAGTGGGACAAGAGGAGGTAAAAGGGCAAGTGTTGCACAGGAAGGTGCTGTAGGAGACGGATGAGATGATAGTGGAGTGGACAGGGCTTACTGAGAGAACACTCCCTTCAGGGAAGAGGGTGTGAAGATGCGTTTGGTGGTGCAGTAGCAGAAATAGCGGCAGGTGGTGTGGGAAAATGAGCACTGGGGAACTGTATTGTAGTTCTTGTTGGTAGAGGCAGGGGTGATGGCCCAAATGCTGGAAATGCGTCAGACGTTGTTGAGACCCTGCCAACTAAAGTGGCGGGGAATCCTCGATTTACATGTCAGGCATGCCAGACTGTCATCTTAACATAGGCAGACTCACGGAATCATACTTTACAGACAATGTCTCAGACATCACCATCCCTGAATATGTCCTGTCCCACTGGCAGTTGTGGCAGCACAATGGTTTAGTCAGTTGGGAGTTGCCCAGGGAGTCCTCAACATTAACTCTGAATCCCACGAAGTCTCATGGCTTCAGGTTAAACATGGTCAAGGAAATCTCCTGCTAATTACCACATACCATCCCGTCCTTGGCTAATGAATCAGTGCTCTGCCATACTGCAAAGGTGTATGGGCCCTGACAGTGTTCTGGCAGTAGTACTGAGGACTTGTAGCCAGAGCTTGCTGCTCCTCTAGCCAAGCTGTTCCAATACAGATACCCAGGTGTATATCCTGTACATAAAAAGCAGGACAAATCCAACCTGGCTAATTGTGGCCCAATTGGTCAGCTCTTGATCATCAGTCAAGTGACATAAGATGTCACCAACAGTGCTATCAAGGAGCCCTAGCAAAATTGGAATCAATGGGGGTATCGGGGGCAAACTCTCTGGTTGGAGTCCTACCTGGTACATAAATGGTTGTGGTTGTTGGAGGTCAGTCATCTCAGCTCCAGGACAGCTCTACAGGAGTTCCTCAGGGTACTGTCCTAGGCCCAACCATCTTTAGTTGCTTACGTCCATCATAAGGTCAGGCATGGGGATGTTTGCTGATGATTGCAAAATGTTCAGCAACCATTCATAAACTCCTCATTCATAAACACTGAACCAGTCCATGTTTACATGCAACAAGATCTGGACAATATCCAGGCAACAGTTCAAGAAGACAGCTCACCACCACCTTCTCAAGGGCAACTAGGGACGGGTAATAAATGCTGGCCAGTCAGTGATGCCCACATCCTATGAATGAATTAAAATAAAAAATACAAGTAAATTTGTCAAGCGTGGTTTTCTCTGTATGAAGGCATACTGACTCTGCTTGAACATGTTATGTATTTCTAAATGCTGTGCTGTTGCGGTCATTATAATATATTACAATATAATAAACACCTACCCAGTAACAGATGTTACCAGCTTTTCTCCCTTCCTCCCTTGTTCAGTAAAGGTATTATGTTGGCAGTTTTCCAATCCTCTGGGATTTTTTTCCAAAATTTAAGGATTCTTGAAAGATTATTACCAGTTCAACCTCTGTTGGTCCTTCCTTTAGTACCCTATGATGTATCTCATCAGGTTCTCTGACTTGTGTTTTTTAAAAATCGTTTTAGGTGGGGCAATACACCAGTAGATGAGGCAATTCACTTTGGCCACCATGATATTGTAACAATCCTTCAGGAATACCAGAGCAAGTACATGCCCACAGAGGACTCGAACAATGGAAAAGAAAAACCCTCTAAAGAGAACTTAGACAGCATGGTATAGTTCAACATTATCAAACTGTTATTTTGTTCAGAATTACCAAAACTAAACTGAAGTTTGGGATTTGTAAAAGTGTTGTATTTTTTTCAAGTAATTGTTCTGGTGTTTTCTGCTTGGAACTTTTTTGATGTAGTCTTAGAAAATTATAGGCAAAATAGAAAGGATTGCCAGTATTCAGTTTGGGGCCTGAGGTCTGACTGTTAACATGATGCATTGAGTTAGTTGTATGACAATTTCAAAGAAAGGTAGAATAATCTCCATGGGAATTTTAAGATTTCATATGTCTTCTAATCAATTATAAAATTGCCACGAAGTCATAAATTATTATTAATACTAGTAAGCAATTTAGTCAATCAGATACTCGGGCCATTAATACTGGGAAATATCCAGCTTTAGTAAACATGTAAGGAAATTATAGCTGGTGTGTTCTGTAAGTAACCTGTTGAAGCATCCCTGTAAAATGTGAATGAATATTAGTGTTCAGTATTAAGATTTTGTCCAGATGTTTTACAAATAGAAGCTATTTTACTTGCTCCTTTGAAATGTCTACTATTCCAATTGTGTAAAAGTGTAGCAGTGAATCAACAGTTCAGTCAACAGTAACAGTATAATATTTGTTAAAAACTCATTCAATATTAGTATCATGGCCAAGAAGTATAAAAGTCCAGATTCTACATATGGGTTATGTAACTGTTATGTTGCCTTTCAGTAAATTATTACTTTGACATTTCCCATTTAGTATAATTTTATTAACTTATTTTTAATTTCTTGTTAAAATATTGTTTCATTCACTTTTACTTTTCCCCACCTCTTATAAGGTCCACTAAACAGAAGAGGCTTCGTGTTTCATTACTGTAATTGTTTGTAAGTAAAGGCTTCAAACAAATGTAAATGATTCAGTATCAAAAATATTGTACTATCTATCAAGTTCACAATTCTTTCTCAGGAATAGGAATACTTATCGGCAAGTCTGGAATAAATATTCCTGAAAATTTAGTTGTTTTACAAATACATAAGTAGTTACTGGCATTTTCGAACAGTTTTCTTTCAAGTAACAATGCAAGATTTTTAATTTTCTCTTGTGTTGGAACTGGTCCAATGACTTATAGTAATGCTTAGTGCTGTACTTCAGAAATATAGTTAAGATGTGCAGTCCCTTGTCATTACTGCTTTTCAGAGCTGTTAGATTGTTATTTGAATTAAGGCTTGACTATTTTGTACAATCTAATTCCATTGGATCATGTTAATAGTCTGTGAACTTTCAAAAAGCATATATAGTTCCAGACTGCATGGTACATTGCTTTACATACAATACAGGCATAAATGGAGTTGAACCGGGAGAACTACAGATGCTACAAAGACAGCAATTGCTGGACAGTCTCAGCAGATCTGGCAGCATCTGTGAAGAGAAATCAGAGTTAAGGATCTGAAACGTTGACTCTGGTTTCTCTTCACAGATGCTGCCAGACCTGCTGAGCGTTTCCAGCAATTTCTGTTTACATTAGCTGAGTTTGTTAGTTTACATCATTATGATTACCTGGAAATGCAATTTTTTCTTGTAATAGTATTTATTATGGAGAACTTTTAAAATGTATCACACAAAACAGGAAAAGGCATTTGAACCCTCAAAGTCTACTTCTTCCATGGACCATATGCAATGTACTTGAACAGACTAACCTAGTTAATCATCTGAAGTAACACCTGCACACCCAAAGATAATTGAGCAGAATTAGAATGTTTATCATCCTATTTCTATTGGGGAATTTGACTTGATTTTCTTTTCTCCTTTTAAAACTTGATGAAGGGTACAGATAGTAATGCACGATGCTACAAGGGCTGTGGAACCATGTACAAAAGTAAATTTGCATTTTATTTCCATATAGTTGGAGTTATTTCTTAATTGATAACCTAGTTGGAGCATTCAAGAAAGTTTTCTCTGCCATGTTTTGTATGAATCATTTGTATTTGTGTAGGATTCCAGTTTAATAGTAGCATTTGATGCTTAATGTTGTGATGAATGACCTGAACTGCCTAAGTTTGCTTGGTGCAATTGTCTGTGTCTGTGTATGTGAATACTTAGAATTGTATTAGATGGATGGGTAGCATTTCAGCATATTTTTGTTCATTTAAATTTTAAAATATATATTTCTATCCATTGCTGTAATTGCATTGTGAGTTGCTGCACTATAAAATGGATCTTTTCAATAAGTGTACCTATTTCTGTTACAACAGTCAAAACAGCCTGCTTATGCTTCTGCCTTACTCATTATAGGGCAGGACTAGCCTCTGCTTATGTTTAAACTGCTATTCAGACTGTGACCGTAATTGTATTTTTCCACATTGTGACATGACTGCCTTTTCAAGCATGGCAGATTGATGATGTTTAATGTACTTGCTAACAGCAATCTATTTTCAGTGCATTGTTCCATATTTCAATCTGAAATGTTATTTTTGAAGTGTTGCTGGCAATGCAGAGTATTTATCTAAAAGAAGCAAATCAAGTGTGTTAAATACACAAATAAAAACGCAAAAGTTTTGTATTCTGTTTTCTTTCTCACATGCACCAAGTGTAGTGTCACGTACAAACAGAGAATTTCCACAAGGAACACAACTTTCCATAATCACTCACACATCAAGTTATTATTGATGGCTTTATTGGGTGGCATTTGTCAGTAACAATCTGGAGTACATCTGTAAGAGATTTATTTTATGAAAAATAGCTTTTGTCCTCATTTTCTTCTTAATACATTCTCTGAAAGACTGTTTCACTTGCATCTCTGATACAATTGTGCAAAAGTAATGCATTTTCCACACTTACAACCCTATACTGTGTTAGGTTATTCTGCTGTGGACAGTTATTTCAACCAGGAACACTGGCTGATTTTTCTTAGTGGCCAATTGGAGGAGAAAGACTAAGATGAGGTAAAATTATTTTCCTAGGACCCTGGCTAACTTCAACTAAATACTGAAGTAAAACTGAGCCTGGGGATTTCATGACCTGCAACAGGTGATGTCTACTCACCAAGCTATTGAGCCTTTGGCTTTTCTCATTTCCAGATATCACTGCAAAAAATCTTGTCTTGTGTTTTTCAGCTGCTAGAGTGTAAACTTTGAGAAGCTTCAGTTCTGAGTCACCTTTTCAGTACAAATGAAGCATCCTGAACAGTGAATAGACCTAAAGAAAAACTTTGGCTTGAATCTTCCACTTTCTATATATTCATCAACTGGACATACCTCAAGAAATGCAATGGGATCCCTCAAGTCCTAAGCGTTGACTGTGCAGAATTGCATGGGAAGTTACCCAGTCTCCTGAATCCTCCAAAATAATCTCTGAATCACCATTGAGTCAAATCCAAGGGTTCAGACTTAACTAGATAATCACTCTGGTAATTTAGGTGCATAAAAGCCAATTATGACCTCAGGGTACCTATACTACTGACCCTACTCTTTGACTGTCCAACTACCCCCAACCCAGTTACTCCAATACACGCCCACCACCTACCCCCTCACCACTGTGACTTACATACTTCACTCCAATAGATTTTGGACATTTGAACTATTTACTTAGCAGGTAGTGCCAGAAAAAGGAATCTTCTATGAAAATTCTCTGTGCTGCTCCCTATAAGGATTCCCAGATTGTGAGCATTCTGTCAGATTCTCCATCTGGTCCAAAAGATTGGAGGTAAGCAATTAAAACTTCATCATATTCTGATGGGAAATAGTGTTACCAACCCACATCCAAAGATTTGGACCTTTGTTTTACTCTGCATGTCACCGGCTATTTGATGGGATGTGAAGTAAGCCACTGGTAGGGTGATTTCTAGTAATTTTTTGACTGTAAAATTGCATGTCTGCTCTGTTCCTTCACTACTCAAATAATACCTTTTGTTCTTTAGTAGTATAATTTGTTTTAAAATACTGAAGTGTTGTTTCATTGCCTTGAAATTTTGAAGCAATAGTGATGATGTCTGAACTTCCTGTGAAATTTTGCATATTTGTATTTATTCTGTGCTTTCCTGAACACTGAATATTACTCTTCTAATCCTGCATGAGAAAAACAAAAAACAAGCTTTTTTTCACTAGTGTTTCCTTGCAGGTATAAGTTTTTTAAATACTTTAGTCAATTTGACCAAAGATCCTCTTTAAGCAGGCAAGATTTTCAATCAGGAGCCTGTTTTTCCAGTGCTGAATTCTAAAACTGAAGTCTTCAGATACAGCTGGGCTTGAGATTGTTAGCAGATTTGGGCAAAAGTGAGTAATATTTTTACGCAAATAACCTTCGGGAAATGCTCGGGAACTGAAGGAAATCCTTATCAGTCAGGAAATGGTATTGGGGAAATAGATGGGATTTAAACCCCAGGACGGAATGCTGTGCGACCCAGATTACTTAAGGGAAGTGGCCCTAAAAATAACAGATACGTTAGTGATCATTTTCTAGCATTCTGTAAACTCTGGAAGAGTTCTAATGGACTAGAGGGTAGCTAATGTAGCCCCACTCTTTAAAAAAGAAGGGAAAGAGAAAACAGGGAATTATAGGCCGGTTAGCCTATATGGGGAAAATGCTGGAGTCAACTATTAAGGATATAATAACTGAGCATTTGGAAAGTAGTGACAGTCATTCTAGTCAGCATGGATTCACTAAAGGGAAGTCATGCTTGAGAAATCCTCTGAACTTTGAGGATGTGACCCGTAGAGTGGACAAGGATGAATCAGTAGATGGTGTACCTGGACTTTCAAGAGGCTTTGACAAGGTTCCACCTGAGATTAGTAAGGAAAAGTAAAGCTCATGGTATCAGAGGTAATGTTTTCTATCCGATTCAATACTAGTTGTCAGACAGGAAGCAGAGAGTTTGAATAAATGGGTCCTTTTTCAGAGTGGCAGGCAGTGACGAGTGGGGTACCACAGGGTGTGGTGTTGGGATCTCAGCTGTTCACAATATACATTAACGATTTGGTGGAAGGAATTGAATGCAATCTGTCCAAATTTGCAGATGATGACATTCAGCTGGGTGGCATTGTGTGCTGTGCGGAGGATGCTAAGAGGCTGCAGGGAAACTGGCCGAGTTGGTGAATACTTAGCAAATGAAATACAATATGGATAAATGTGAGGTTATCCACTTGGGTCGCAAAAACAGGAAGGCAGATTATTACCTGAATGGTGGCAGTTTAGGAAAAGGTGAGGTGCAACGAGACCTGGGTGTCATGGTGGCACAGTCGCTGAAGGTTGGCATGCAGGTGCAGCAGGCAGTGAGGAAAGCTAATGGCATGCTCTCCTTGTAAGTGAGAAGATTTGAGTATCGGAGTAAGGATGTCTTGCTGCAGTTATACAGGGCCTTGGTGAGGCCACACCTTGAGTACTGTGTGCAGTTTTGGCCTCCTACTCTGGGGAGGGACATTCTTATTATTGAGAGAGTCCAGTGATGATTTACCAGACTGATTCCCGGGATGGCAGGAAAGACTGGATTGGCTGGGCTTGTACTCACTGGAATTTAGAAGAATGAGGGAGGCTTTCATAGTAACATATAGAATCCTGACAGTGGGGAAGTCCAGAACTAGGGGGGGTCACAGTCTAAGAATAAGGGGTAAGCCATTCAGGACTGCGGTGAGGAAAAGTTTCTTCACACGAGTTGTGAACCTGTGGAATTCTCTCCCACAGGAAGCTGTTGGGGCTATTGGATATATTCAAGTGGGAACTGGATATGGCCCTTGCGGCTAAAGCGTTCAGGGAGTATGGAGAGAAATGGAAATTGGATACTGAGATTGCATGATCAACCACGATCATCTTGAATGGTGGTGCAGACTCGAAGGGCTTAATGCCTACTCCTGCACCTATTTTTCTGTTACACTCAGAATTCTAGGCATTACAAAGATGGTGATCATCCACTGCATATATCCTGAGTACAAATATTACAAACACAAGTACTGAAGTGTAGAATGTGGCTGTAATCAGCTTTCTCTGTTCCATATGCTGCAATGCAATGCAAGTTTGGATTGCTACTATCTTACTGGCTAATACAGAACAATCTTTGAAATTGCAGTTGCTCTTCATTCCACATGCTCCCACAAATGTCTAAAATACATCAGTTTTTTTTCCTGTCAGAAATGCACATCTCAATTAATTTCAAGTTAGTCTTGTGTCTCATTTTACTCCTTTGCCTTAATGTAGTTCAGGAGCTGGGCTAGTTCGTTATTTCACTTGCTTTGTTTTCATGCATTTGACTTCCAAGATTTGTCAAGGGTATCAAATCTCCTTTTAAATTTACCCAATCTGTCTGAGGTTGCTTTTTAATTACTATAGTTTACCTGGGAGTTTAGTGATAGGACTAAGTGTTGAACCAAAACGATTATGAGATCACTTGGTTGTAATGCCGAATTGAAAATGAATACCCATTACAATGCACACTTTATTAATTGATTTATTGAGATAAGAATGCTGAAGTGCGGTAAAGCAAACAGCTCTTAAGAGGATGAACATTTTTTTCACATTTGAGCAAGTAATGGTGGCAGTTGTTTTAAAGTGTGCTGACTTGTTTGAGATGTGACATGGGCGTGACATTTGTGTGGTGGGGTTGGCGTATTGAAAAACCATGGTTTCACTGCTCAATATGGATACAAAATAATCACCTAGTTTGGAAATCCAAGATTTTTGTTAAAATGTTCTGCCAGTGCCACAGATCTGCAAAGAATTGCTCAATATCAGTAAAACATGGAAATGTTCAGGCAAGTGATATTAAGTTTGGTTAGAAACATAATAGGATAATTAATGCAACTATCCATTTTCATTAAAACTGAACCTGTTTCAAACAAGTATTCTGGTGCTGTTTCAAATCAGAAAATTATGGGAAGAGGTATTTTGTCATTTGACTGTATATAAACAGTGCAACAATTCCCTTTTAAATACCATTTTTAGCATTGGGAAACATCTTAAGACAGTTAACAATGGCACCCCTAGCCCAAAATTGACCACTGTGCTGAAGGAGGTATTCAGACATGACCTGAAAATTGGGCAGAAAGGTAAGTTTTTAAGTAGTGCCTTAAAAGGTCAATGGGAAAAAGTATGTCAGATTTAAAGTTAAGGACTTAGAAAATTAAGGGCACAGCTGCTACCAGTCCAAGTGGGAAATGCACAAGAGTTCAGAGTTGGAGTAATCTAATATTCTTGATGTGCTGAAGGTTGTTACAGAGAGGGAATAAAGCTTTGGAATATGAGCTCGAGAATTTTTAACTTGTGTTGGAGAATCAGGTCAGTGAACGAGAACGGTGGAAGGACAGCTTGATGTGGGATACAATAAGTAGAATATTGAATGTGCTGTAATTTTGAGGATGGGAACTGGGAAGCTTGTAGGAGCTACTGCAATAATCAAGGCTAACGGTTACAAAAGCGAGAACTGAAGCTTTCACTAACGGGTGAGTGGAAGCAGATGGCAATGAGTGAGACAATAAGCAGTCTTAAAGATGGGAGCCAGTGTTTGACAGTTGATTTCAAAAGGATGGAAATTGTACTTAAAAGGGGATTGTTAACATAATAAATTAGCACAAGTGCTAGAACGAACACACACATGCACACACTGCCAGTGGGCTCTGTACAAAGAACTAAGTACCTATTCAAATTCTGAATTTCGTCTAGAATGTATCCATTAGAACCGGGTATCTTCAGCAATGAAGCTGAGGAGGAGAAAGGGCAAAGGCTCCTAATAGGCAACCTAGGATAAAGTTAGGCAGGACAGGAGCTTTAAGAACTCCAAGCCCAAGAGCCATCTTTCAAGTCTTGATAAACAAAAGGAAATTGGTTGGTTTCCTTAAAAAAAAATTCACAATGAAACAGCCAAATTTAATGGTATGGTTAGTATTTAAGTTCAAGAAAATATGAAAATGATACAAATACTCAAAACGTAAATAAAACATTTCATGCTGTAGCTACTTTATCTTTGCAATGTTTATGTGAAAAATGTCATTATTTACATTGAACTATCAGTTTTGGGTTACTGTAGCAGCTTCCAAACACCACTGCCAGAACTTGTCGATTCACAGTCACGAAGAGGACCTTGGTTAATTTGGATACGTTGAACACATCTTTAAAAAAACACAATAATTAGTATTCAGAGACTGAACTGTTTCACTGCAACAATTAAATATTTTTAAATATCAACATTGCTCCACAAAATATACAAATGCTTTTTGAAAGAAGTATTTATGAGTCTTAGTGTCCTTAAGAGAAGAGTTGATTGTTCCCCATTAATTATTCCCAAGAACCTTTAGCATAGTTTCAAATCAACTCAGGCATTTAGTCACACAACTAGAGGGTTCCTGATTTCTGCAGGTATGTCATCTGGCCAGCTTTTCAGTACTAACAGTACCATTAGGATATAAGAGCACTGCTGATGGTACACAAAGCCCCCGGTTAAGGAACTGGTCTGGAGACTTGAAAAGGAGGCAAATAGAACAAGATCCCTGGGTTAAGGAAAAGTGACCGCAGGAGGGAGAGGGGGTGTGGTATAAAAGGGCAGGGAGGTCTTCCTTCCAACTCTTGGGAACTGTTCTAGAAGCAAAAGAACGCTCGAATTCACAATACATTCATTATCACTGCAGCTATACTTCTCCAAAACCCGAGTATACCCTAGAGAGAGCTTGTTGAGAAATGATCTTTTTGAAGCATGTGAGATTAAGGGGATGGAAAAGAATGGAAACTGGAATTTCTTCACCCTGCAAAAGCAGAACATGGAGACAAAGGCTACTTTCAGGATTGTTCTTGGAAACGTTCTTCCCAACCCCCATCAACTTGTGGAATGCATAATGGTGATGATTACTATGGAGTCTAGACAAACACAAATCACTATTGGCCCCCTATTAAGTTACTTCACTTTTCTATCACTGTTCCACACACTTTAAAATCATTAACATAAGTGTACAAGTTCCATTTGTAGAAAATTAGGTGACAAGTTCTGCTTGCATTTACTATATAACAGTAGTGATTAAGGACACATGATAGATGTACAGTAAACTTGTTGCATTCAATAATATGCATCAACAATTCTAACAATTTTTACAAAGTGGAAGTTATAAGCACTTGGATTCTAAACTAACTTACCACTGTGTCAATTTCTGAGGGACTTAAGTGGCGCTCCAATTCACCAAAATCCTCCACAGACATAGGCAGAAGATTTTCTGTTGACTGCAGTCTTGAGGGATGACTGGAAACACCAATATAGATAATTATTTTCACTCAAAAGGTGCATCTTAAGAGGGAAAGGAAATATTTAATGCAATATCCAGTGCCTCCAACTGTTTCTTGATATCATGTGGAGGGAACTGAATTGGCTGAAGACTAGTATTGTGATAGTGGGGGCCACTGAAGGACACTGAGATGGATCATCCACGTGGTACTTCTGGCTGAAGATTGCTGTGAATGCTTCAGCCTCATCTTTTGCTCTGATGTGTTGGGCTCCCCCATCATTAAGGATGGGAATATTTGTAGAACATTCTCCTTCAGTGAGTTGCTTAATCGTCCACCACCATTCACGACTGGATGTGGCAGGACTGCAGAGCTTAGATCTGATCCTTTGGCTGTGGGATCACTTAGCTCTGTTTATCACTTGCTGCTAATGCTGTTTGGTGTGCAAATAGTCCTGTTTTGGTGGTTTCACCAGGGTGATAGCTCATCTTCAGGTATGCCCTCCTGCACTGTACACTGAACCAGGGTTGATCCCCTGGCTTGATGGTAACGGTTGAGTGGAGGATATGCTGGGCCATGAGGTTGCAGATTGTGCTAGAATATAATTCTGCTACTGTTAATGGCTCCTAACATCTCATGGATGCCCAGTCGCTATGGTGGTTGTGTTGTGTGGCACTACAGAGCGTATTCTCACTAAAGACAGTACCAATATTGTTGTGGACAGATGCATGTGCACTAATGGAAGGTTTCGAACAAGGAAAAACTGTTACCATACCAAATTTCTGACTTTACAAAATCTTTTCCATTTTTAAAAAAAAACTAATTTCCTTAACCTGTTCCAAAGTGGTGAAGGAATCTCTGGAAAGAGGATATTCCACCGTCAGGACTCTGTAGCTAATAGTTTCCCCTGTTGTATTGTCCTAAATCCTTTTATAATTTTTTTTAAAATTCAGTTTGTCAGCATATTACAGCCACAGTGATTATGAAAATATTTTTCTTTATTCATTTTGTAATGTAAACTATTTGAAAGAGTACAAACAACATCTGTATGAATGCACTGATCTCTTCTCGCCCTTCCTGGTTGTTATCATTCAGACCAGAAGCACAACTTCAGTCTCTTTTGGCCACTTTTCTTACTGCAGCCCCTGCTTCTCTCCTGACACAGAATCCCATATATTTGAGGTTGTTGACTTGCTCCCCGAACTGACTTGCTTTTGTTCAGACGTTTCGTCACCATGCTAGGTGACACCATCAGTGGAGCCTCTGATGAAGGCTTCATCGGAGGCTCCACTGATTATGTCGCCTAGCATCGTGATGAAACGTGTAAACAAAAACAAGCCAGCTCGGCGAGCAAGTCAACAACCTCATCCACAACCCGAGCTACAGATCTTTGCCAAAACTTTATCCATTATGTTCATCGCAAAAACAAAAATCATTGCTATTGTAATATCCATCTCGCTCTCTACCTTCTTGCTCAGGTAGAGCTATAAGACTAAATAATCATCATAAATGTGAAAAGCAAAATGTCAATGTACTAAAAATTCAGGATCACCAGCAGACTTAAGTCAAGCATTTTTTTAAAATCACATTTAAAATAAAATGGAACAGCAAAACATGGTATATACAAAAACAACCAAGTTCTTTTTCTAAACCTCCTGGGATTTATAAATTACTGAGCAGGTGTTTTACTTAAATATCCAGCAGCATTTCTACACAAGGTTACCCATGGTTTACAACCCTTTCATAGACTCCTGGTAGAAACTACCAAAATTATGAAGCATGGATAGAATACATAGTCGGTGTCTTTTTTTCCCCAAGAGTAGAAATGTCAATTACTGGGAGATACATGTTTAAGGTAAAAGGGGGTAAGTTTAAAGGACACATGAGAGGCAAGTTTTTATTACACACAGAGCACATTAAATACCTGGAATGCACTGCCAGAGGAAGTGGTAGAGGCAGAGGCAGATACAATAACAACATTTAACAGGCATCTTAATAGATATTATTGGGGAAGTATGGAACATAGAGAGGCATTTTTGTTTTGTTTAGAAAGGCGTCATTTGTTTGGTACACTATTCATGGGCTGAAGGACCTGTTATGCTGTTTATTGTTAAAAGACCACACATTTTTAATCACTTTAACTTCACCCAACTCTGCCCTTGACTGATTTGATCTGCTGCTCAAGCCCTCATCCATACTTTTGGTACCTTTATAGAGTTAACAATCCCATACTCTAACCTCTGTAAACTTGAGGCCATCTAAAACTCCACTGTCTGTGTCCTAATTCAAACCAAATCCAATTCACCCATCACCTGTGTTGATTATAAAACAAGTCTGATTATAAAACAAGTCTGATTATAAAACAAGTCTGATTATAAATTCTTATCCTTGTTTTCAAATCCATCCACATGCTGACTCTTCCACCATCTCTAATATCCTTCAATCCAACAACCTTCAGACATCTAAATTAAAGACAAGTACTGCAGATGCTGCCACACCTGCTGAGTGCCCAGTACTTTTCTTATCTCAATCCTCAAGACATTTCTGCTTTTCTAATTCCGGCCACTTGAGCATCTATAATTGCAATTGTTCTTTCCTTTGTTGCTATGTCTTCAGCTGGCTAGGCCCTTGGCTCTGGAATTTCTTCCTAAAATCCTTTCTGCCTTTTACCTAAACATACCCAGCTGTCCTAATTTGCAAAGTCATATTGTTTTGTAAAATATAAACATGGTTTATAAAACATAACAATATCTTATTATCAAAAATTTACACAAATAAAATTCTTGAGGTTTAACCAGTGAGTCATTGGAAATTCTAAATTATTAATATCAACACCCTTCTTGAATTCAAATCTATAGAGGAAAAATGTCAAATCTTTTATACAAAACTATCACTATTGCTCCCAACCTTAATATTCTAAGACCAGTATACAAAAGAAACTTGGTTGTCATTGACTTCTAGCTGCAGCGTGGGCAGATGTAGCTCTGCATGTAGCTAATACAGAACACTCAACCAGTGACTTGTACAATAGCACCACCTACAGTGAAAGGATTAAAATAAGGCAAGGTTGAAGTTTGATTACTAGATTTCAATTGTTATAGGAAGTGTAATAATATTATTATCCTCTTCCTATATTTTTCTTTTTTCTCAATCAAGGATTCCTTGTCCCAGTGACCAACAGGCCTTCAACTACATCCTCACTATTTCTGGCTCCATACCAGACCATACCTCGTCCTCCACGTTCAACGAATCATCCTCCAGTGCAAATGCATCATCCTTTCCCATTTTAGCATTTTAAAGGGACAGTTCCCTCTATGATACCCTTTCAATCTTCCACAGGGCCTTCTGAGCAAGCAGAGAAGATGGGATGATACCGTCTCCTTCACCTCCTGCATTTCAACTGCAAACACTGAAACAAGCAATTTACTTGTATGGCTTTCAATTTAATATACTATATTCTGCTCACAATCTGGTCTCCACTACCTCTGTGTAACCAAACGTTTTGCTAAACAACTCCATTTAGTCCACAAGATTGACCCTGAGCTGTGCTGAACACTATTTCTCAGCCCTTCTGTCCTCAATATCACACACTATTCTAATGAAGTTCAGAAAACTCTACTCATCTTTTAAATCGGTATGTTCCAACCTTCCAGACACAATTTTAATTTCAAAAACTTCAGATCAAATCATGGTTTTTACAACAAATGAAATGGAACCCCTTTCTAGTCATGCCCACATTTAATGAAATTACAAAGAAAACAAATTACAAAACTTTTGGACTTTTTCTACTCATAGACCTTTCCTTTTAGTCTATCCTTCCATCTTTCCTTGCTTCTGAATTGATTTAAAAGACTTTTCACCTCTAACTTCTGGTTCTGACATTTTTTTTTTTTAAAAAGGTTGACAATTCAAAACGATTCTTCTCTCCACAACTGTTACCCGACTTTGAGCATCATTTTTTTTGTTATTATACAATTAACTTTACCCATGATAAGGTAACTTGTTGAGTACAAAACACCAAGTATGATTTAAAAGATAGGCCAGTAAGAAATATAAAATATGCAGATTTTTAATCGGTGTAATTTGAAATCACTTTGTGCTGGCAGCTCAATTAGTAATAGGGAGTGACTCATTAGATATTAATACAATTGTTATTAGAAAATCTAAGTATTTGATTACATCCACTACTTAGTAGCAATGAAATGTCTAACTAGGCTGGTTACTTTAGAAAATTATCCTTTATTTTGTAAATGTACCATGAGAATTGGTAGAATGCAACAAAAAGAAAATTCATGCCTGTGAATGAGAATCTTCGTACACATAATTGCAAAAGATCTAAGGCATCCATTCAATTAAATGTTTCACTTCCTCCACCGTTAATTACTTTGTTCTAAATGACCAACAAAGAGCTAGTTTAAAAATTGAACAACCACCATCTGATTTTCCTAAAAAAAAAAATCACAGGGCCACCAATTTTAGTTTTTTATATTGCTCCAAGAACTTGCACTTTAGAATTATTATAAAATTTGTGTATTTGCAAACTTAATTAGGGAGCTTAAAGTGAAGGAACTCTTAGAGGGGCAGTGACCATAATTTTATAGAATTCACCCTGCAGTTTGAAAGGGAGAAGCTGGAATCAGATGTAACGGTATTACAATTGAGTAAAAGGTAACTACGAAGACATTAGGGATGAATTGGCCAGAGTTGACTGGAAGGGAAGCCTAACAGGGAAGACATACAGCAGCAATGGCAGGAGCTTTTGAGGATAATTCAGGAGGAAAAGCAGAAAGTCTTCCCAGGGAAGAAGAAACATGCTATCGGGAGGATGAGGCAACTATGGCTGACAAGGGAAGTCAGGGATAGGATAAAAACAAAAGATGCAGCATTAGATGTGGGTAGCCTTTAAAAGCCAGCAGAGAATAACTAAAGCAGTGGGGGTGGGGGAGGGGAAAGAGATGATGAAATGTGACAGTAAGATAGCTAGTAATATGAAAGAAGATTACAAGAATTTTTTAGATATTTAAAAGGTAATAGGGACAAAAGTGGACATCGGACCACTGGAAGATGAGGCTGGCGAAGTAGTAATGGAAAACAAAGAAATGGCAGAGGAACTGAACTGGTACTTTGCATCAGTTTTCACAGTGGAAGACACCAGCAGCATAACAGAATTTCGGAGAGAGTCAGGCGGTAGAGGTGAATGTGCTGACCATCACTAAAGAGAAGGTGCTGGGAAGCTGAAAAGACTGAAGGTGGACCAGATGTACCCCAGGGTTCTGAAGGAGATAGCTGAGGATATTGTAGAGGCATTGGTGGTGATCTTTCAGGAAACACTAATTAAAGAGGGTCCCAGAGGACTGGAAAATGGATAACGTAACACCTCTATTAAAGGCAAGGAGGCAGAAGGAAACTATAGGCAGGTTAGCCTGACTAACCGGTAAGATTTTAGTCTGCAATTAAGGATGAAATTGTAGAGTATTAGGAAACGCATAGTAAAATAGGGCAGAGTCAGCATGGCTTTGTTAAGGGGAGGCCATGCCTGACAAATGTTAGAATTCTTTGAGGATTAAATGAGCAGTTTAGACGTGATTTGTTTGGATTTATAGAGGCCTTTGACAAGGTGGCACATAGGAGGCTGCTAAACAAAAGCCCACATGTTAGGCCCACATGGGACTGGCTGACGGAAAGAGAGTAGGGAAAAAGGGGTTTTTTTCAGAATGGCAGCCAATCAGTGGTGGAGTTCTGCAGGGGTCAGTGTCAGGATCACAACTATTCATATTAATACATTAATGATCTGGACAAAGAAATGTAGCGCATTGTTACCAAGTTTGCAGATGACACAAAAACAGATGAAAGCACAGGAAGTGTTCAGTAAGTAGGGAGGCTGCAGTAGGACTTGGACAGGCTAAGACAGTGAGCAAAAAAGTGTCAGATGGAATACAGTGTGGGAAAATGTGAGGTTATGCACTGTGGTAGGAAGAATAGATGCATAGATTATTTTCCAAATGGGGGAAGGCTTCGGAAATCTGAAACATAAAGGGACTTGGGAGTCCTAGTTCAGGATTCTCTTAAGGTTAACATGCAAGTTCAGTTGGCAGTTAGGAAGGCAAATGAAATGTTAGCATTAATTTCAAGGAAGCTATAATACAAAATCAGAAGTGTACTGCTGTGGCTGTAGAAGGCTCTGGCCAGACCGCGTTTAGAATATTGTGGGCACCTTTGGGCCCCATATCGAAGGAAGGATTTTCTTGGAGTAGAGTGTGTCCAGACAGGTTCACACCAAAGATTCCAGAGATGAAGGGTTTGTCACATGAGTTCTTGAGGACTCTGGGTCTGTTCTCGATGGAGTTAAGAATTAGAGAATCTGATTAAAACTTACAGTACACTGAGGGGCCTAATACGGTGGACATGGAGAAGATGTTTCCACCAGTGGGACAGACTAAGAATTGAGGGGACAGCCTCAGAGTGTAGGTAACTTTAGATTTGAGATGAGAAGGAATTTCTTCAGTCATAAGTTGGTGAATCTGTGGAACTCACCCACTCAGAATGCTGTAAGGGCCAAGTCATTGAGTGTATTAAAGGCAGAAATAGATAAGTTCTTGATTAGTAAGGGAATCAAGGGTTACAGATAGAAGGCAGGAGAATGGAGTTGAGAATCATATCAACCATGTTCAAATGGCCTAATTATAATCCTGTCTTGTGGTCTTGTATAGGAAAGGCAATAAAGAAAATATACATATGCATATATTAAAACAATTTTGAGGAAAAGATGACTTAAGAGCTTACTTACACTTCAGACACGGAGATCAGTTCAGTCTTTATATAACCACTAGTCTTGGAGTCATCTACATCCATAGGCTCTGAAGCTAAAGGAGAGAAGGAACAATGATCTTTACTTTACTTTATACTTGCTGGTGATAAGAGACTGTCAAGTTACATACATAGTCAGGCCAAGTCATGTGGACCACTCCAACTATACCAGTTTAACATACTTCGGGACAGCATGGTCATCAGCGTCAAACTGTACCAAATGACCTAAATCAGAACGGAATGTGGTCCCTGATTGGATAGCACCTCTGGCCGACAAATAGCGGTTCCAAAGGCAAAGGAGAAATTGTACTGTTTAATATTAAACATCAGAGATGCAGCTAAATAAAGCATCGAGATAGCAAAATAACTAACAGGTGGTTATGGAACTTTCAACTACTGAGGACAAGGAAATCAAATGTAATATTTCCATGTTTGCTGTCAACACAAAACTAGGGTGGGAGTGATGAAGAGAGGGCCTTCAGAGCAAATTTAGATGAGTTGATACAGCAGAAAATGTGTGGCAAATGCAGTAAAGTGTGGACAAATGTGAAGTTATCTACTTCAGTAGGAAAATAATGTCAAATTATTTAATGATGATAGATTGGGAACTATTTATTTACAAAGGGCTTACATGTTCTTGTGCAATGGTCACTGAAAGCAAGCATACAGGTGCAACAAGCAGTTAGGAAGGAAGGCAAATGATGTTGGCCCTCTTCTAAGAGGATATGAATATAATAGCAAGGAAAACTTGTTGCAGCTGTACAGGGTTTTGCTGAGCCTATACCTGGAGTGTTGAGACATGTTGTGGGCTTCTTATCAAAGAAAAGACATACTTGCCCTAGAGCAAAAAATTGCAAAGGTTCATTAAACCAACTCCTGTGATTTGTAACATGGGGGGTTGACCAAGCCTGTATTCACTGGCAGTTACAAGAATGAAGAATGAGGGATAATGGGATGTCACTGAAATGTATAAAATTCTGACAGAGCTGGACAAATTGAATGTAGGGATGATGTTTCCCCTGGTTGAGAGCCCAGACAAGGGGGGGTTACAGTCTCAGTACATGTGCTTGACCATGTCAGACTAGGAGGAGGAGAGATTTCTTCACGGGGCTGGTGAACCTATAGAATTCATAGAACAGAATCCCTAGAATGTGGAAAGTAGGCCATTCAGCCTATCAAGTTCACAACAATCCTCTGAAGAGCATCCCGCCCAAACCCTGCCCCCACCCTGTAACCCTGCACATCCCTGGACACTACAGGGCAATTTAGCATGGCCAATTTACCTAACCTGCACATCTTTGGACTGTGGGAGGAAACCCATGCAGACAAGAGGAGCATGTGCAAACACCATACAGACAGCCCGAGGCTGGAACCGAACCCAGGAACTGGTACTGTGAGATAGCAGTGCTAACCATGGAGTCTCCGTGCTGTTCCCCCACAAAGCTGTGGAAAGGAAGTCACTGATTATATACAAGAAAGAAATAGAAATAGACTTCTAGAAGTGCTAGATGACAAGGGAATTAGAGCAGGGAGACAGTGGTTTTGAGATAGAGGATCAGTCATGATGATATTGATTAGCAATAAAGCTTGATGAGCCGAATAGCCTATTCACACATCCCTATTAATACACCAGAGAAATCTTGTAATACCAGGGTGCATTCAAAATCACCTTAGCTGCAGTCTGACTAATAAGCCTGTTGGGGGCTCCTTCTAGCAGAAGAGTCTTAGCTACTTACTCTCTCCCTCATACTCACGCTCTTAAGAAATGAACAGTTCTGCTCAACCACACAAATTTGTGGAAAAACAAAAACGAGAAATGGAAAGGAACAGGAGATTCTCACAAAACGTCACGTACTATTTTCAAATCTGAATTTTTTTCCCCACTTTGTGGTGAAATTGAGCAATTGTTGAGCTGAAAAGAAACTGGGATATTTGGGAGATGTTTATTTTTCCAAACACGTTCCAGAATTCATCATCCACCCCATCCCCAAAAAGACCTTGGTTACAACCAGCCTAACACTTCAAACCACAAAAGAACTTTGGGTCAAAGAACTTCTGTTAACAGTTCACCTTTTCGTTAAAAATATTCACCCATTTTAATGATAAAATAAGAGGTTTAATTTTCAAAGACGTCACAACGTACAAGTTTTTGTAAATATAAAGAATGATGGAACTGTAACAACAACATTCAAATGGGTGCAAAGTCACAACCATTTTAACTATACTGTATTCATTTAACTTCTCAGATCTTCAAGATTCATAGATTCAGCCCAGTCCATCACAAACCAACCTTCCATCAATTGACTCCATCTACACTTCCCACTGCCTGGAGAAAGCAACCACCATAATAAAAGATCCCTCCCACCCTGGTTATACTCTCTTCCACACTCTACCATTGGGCAGAAGATATAAAAGTTTGTCTACATGTACAAAAAGATTCAAGCACAGCTTTTCCCCTACTATTATTAGAACTCTGATTGGACCTCTCAAATTTTACAGTTAATGTTGACCTTGCTCTCTGTGCACCTTCTCTGCAGCTGTAATATTGTATTCCTCACTCTGCTCTATTACCCTATGCAATTGGAAGGCATGATCTGCCTGCACTGCACGCAAAACAAAACTTTTCACTGCACCTAGGTACATGTGACAATAATAAATCAAATTAAATCGAACCAAATCCATACAGCTAGAAAAGGCCCTTCAAGTCCATCGAGGCTGTACCTACATAACTACCACTAAAAGTGTGCTAATCCCAATTTCCTGCATTTGTCCCATTACCTTCAGTGTTATGATGTTTGAAGTACTCATCCAAATATTTTTAAGCATTGTTAGATATCTTGCCTCCACTATCTTATCAGACAATGCATTCCAGATTCCCACACCCACTGAGTGGGAAAAGTTTTTTTTTCCCCCAAATCCCCTCTGAATCTCCTGCCCTTTACCCCAAAACTATGTCCTCACATGATTGATCCCCTCAACCAAGGGGAATAGCTGCTCTCTATTCACCCCTTCCATATCCCTCAATCTTATACACCTCAATCATGTCCCTCCTCGGTCTTCTTTGCTCTAAAGAAAACAATCCAAATGTATCTAGTCTCTCCTTATAGCTCAATTTCATCCCAGGCAACATCCTGCTGAACTTCCTCTGTACCCCTCTAGTGCCATCACATCCTTCCTATAGTGAGGTGACCAGCACTCCAGTTGTGGCCTGACCAATGCTCTGTATAACCCCAACACTACCTCCTTGTCCTTGTACTCTATGCCACGACTGATGAAAGCATGTGTCCCATATGCCTTCTTAATTATCCTATTCACTTGCTCTGCAGACTTTAGAGATCTGAATACTCACCCCAAGATCCCTCTATTTCTTTCAGCTACCCAGTGTCATGCCATTCATTACAAAGTCCATCTTGTTTCTTCTTCCAAAGTCCATCATGTTGCTCTTATCAGGGTTATCTGCCACTTCTGCTCTTCTGACCAACCCATCTATATCTTTCTATAACCTACAAGCATCTTCTTCGCTATTAACCAGTCTAACAACCTTGGTGTCGTTTGCAAATTTGCTTATAGATGACAATGTGGAGAGAATATTGTCATTTATGTATATAACAAACAATAAGGGTCCTAAAATTGATCCTTCTAGTACACCACTGGATACCAGCCTCCAGTCACTCAAACAGCCTTCTATCACTACCCTTTGTGTTCTATTACTGAACCAGTTTCTGATCCATCTCACCAAGTTTCCCTCAATTCCATGTGCTTTAACCTTCTCAATAAGTCTAATCAAGATGTCTAATTCTATTGCACCAATCATTATTTAAACTTACAAACAGAAAATCTTACTTCATTAGCAGCTATACTTACGATCTTTTGGCCTGGAGTAATACTTTCCAAATGCCTGATCTTTTGGGACCTCGGGATACAAATACTTCAATGGATTTTCTGGAATATTTTCAGCTGCCATAACTTTGTAATTGCGGATGATATCTGGGAAAGTTACTGCTGACAGTTGATGCTTTGTGTATGGCTCCACTGAGTGAAATTGAGATTCATCTGAAGGAGGGGAATAAAGAAGTTCAATTTCAGCTATGAAAATAAAAAAAAGTTATTTGCACCCTAGATGTGCCTGATGTGGTGCTGGCACTAGCAAGTGATATGCCACTAAAGGGACATTCTCAACACAATGGACTGTGACACATAAGTGAGGTTTCTTTAAAAACTAGCATTTTCTTTTAAAATCCCATTAAAATGTACAGGTGATCCCTGAATTGCAAATAGAACACAATGTGTACACTAGTCAGAGCACAATGCAGGACAATATAAAGCAGTCATTCATAAGTACAGGAAATGTTTGTATGTCAGATGTTTAAAATTACACACCAGTATGGGACTGCTTTTGCAAGTACTGCCAGCCCAGCAGTGCAGGATACTGTTTGGATGGAAGGTAGGTTACCGCTATCTGGGAGGGAATAGGTGTCCCTCTTCTTATCAAGTGAGGTGAATGAAGGCCAACCCCACCCCCCAACAGGGCCCAACAGAAATCTTGATATTGAGTAACTGGGTCCCAGCATGACATGCAGCTCATTAAGCACATTACTATTCAGTTAATGGCACAACAAAAAAACTCAATATGCTATTAATTTATATATTTTTATGTAAATCTGCATATTCAGGTTGTTAATCACCTCCATCTTCAAAAATGTGATAAATTTAGGAAGCCTTGTTTAGATGGATATTTTGTTCTTGATTTATTGGGATAATGATTAATAATTTGCCTTTAAAAATCTTGACCCCCAACAGAAAAGCACAATTTGCATTTTTTAAAAAATAAAATCTGCCTTTCAAGAACTAATAAATTCTGACCAATTTATATTGCTAACCAACCAAGAGACTTGTATACCGAAGAATTCAAGCCACTTACCACTTGGAGATATTTCCACCCAGGTAAAAGTAATGGCACCTTCTCGACTGCTCTCGCTGAACCTCAGTAAAAATGTACCTGGCTGCCTACCCTTCAGCAAAGCACGTTCTTTTTCCTTACTCACAAATCCCATGATCCACCTGAAACAGATCAAACTTGTGTTAGTTTCCTCACATTTGTAAATTAATGTTGCTAAAATCAGAGATACGGATGAACATCTACTGCATTAATTTACATGGTTATTATGCTGAATGTTATGTTACCTACCCATCATTCCAGAGAGGCAGGAGATGCTTTTTGATCAACTCCAAAATCCCTTCGATCCACAGCCAGAATGAGAAAGGCTTTTCGTTCAGGTTCTCCTGCAATATTGTAAAGCATAATCAAACAAAATATTCAAGTTTAAAATTAGACTTTTAGCAATAACACTGATTTAGAATTAACTAGTTACCTTGCAGAATCGTGTCCATGGAATGGTACTGTCATTGAAGCAGTTATTTGTACCTATATAAAGATAGATCAAATTTTGTAAGTTCAACAGTTTTCACATTTTACCAAATGATTCTCACTAACAGGTTTTTTTTTTAAAAAATGCATTTTTCAGAAGCAGGTACATTTGAAAAGTTCCAATTCTTCTACTGGTAACAATTCTTGTTTTTTGTGTAGTATATAGTGTGTCACTTTGATGAAGGTGCATGAGCCATCATTTATTTTGCTCTACGGAACATGCATTCTTCAAAATTATAACAGAGCTCTTTCAGGGGGAATTGCTTTCTTTTAAAACATTGATCTTATCCCACAACATTAAGAATCATCAACACGTCATATAGAGAGAAAAACAGGTAAATAACTTTCTCAGCTGCATGCATGTTTCTTGATGACCATTATGTTCAAATAGTTTTGCAGAATTTTAAAATGGAAAATGACATACATTTGCATGTTTTGTATGGACAGTCAGTGCATATATTATAAAGCATATCAACAATAAGTATGGTATTACATATCAACTGAAAAATTAAATATTAAAATTCTTTAGACAAAATGTCATTAAAAAGTGCTTCAACCATGCACTCACTGGGAGGAGCTGTAAATACCAAACATTCATATTGAAATAATTGAACTCTAAGGGGGACCACAAAGGTTTGCTCTCAGCAACCCATGTTCTGGCTCACTCATTCAAAGGAAAAATAGGTTAAACAAAATACATTACATGTGGATTCAATACACAAGAACAACTCTCCAGTTAAATGATGTCCCTTTCAAAGCTTTTGAGGACAACCAGGGTGCATTTTTCCTGGGACTAACTCCAAATGTAACATACAATGAGAACTGCAGCACTTTTCCTTTTCAACTAAACAGGTTTTTGATTTTTCCAAGATCCTACCTAGTAACTTCTCTCCCAGCATGCTGAGCTGTTCAGCATTAAGGCCTCGTTTGGTGATAGAGGAAAATTGCCAACTCAGTACCTCAGACAGGTGACACCACTTGGCAGCTGGGGGATTGGAGAAAAAAGCCAAGGTCTGAAGAGAGAGGGGAAAAAAACCTTGTTTAAAATAAACAACATACTTTAGGATTGCTCAACTAAAATACACTGGACTGTTTAAATCCTACACATGATTACATGTTGCAAATCTTGCCTCAAGTTGTTTTTCCAAATTTCACAAATATAGTTAAGTTGCAGGTGATTATCTAAGAGATACCATCTTTTCACTGGTACAGAGTTTGCATGTCAATATACTGGAGAATCAACTCATGGTTGGTGAAACAGGAATAAGTTCCAAAGTTTGCACAACAGTAACTTATTGAAAAGTAAATCTCCATTCAGAAAACTATGAAACAGATTATCGAATATTCAAGTATCTAATAACTCCACTTTGGGCATTTTAATAGTTAAAACCATGCAAATAAATAAGCACAGATAAACATCAGTAATTTAAAAATAGAGAAAAACTCATTCATGGGATTTAGGTGTTATTAGCGAGGTCAGAATTTAATGTCAATCTCTAATGTCCTTGTAAAGGTGGTAATGAGCTACCTTCCTGAACTGCTGCAGTCTGTGTGGTGTATGTATACCTGCAGCCAGAGTGAGGAACATGTCTGAAGTGTTGTGTCACTTGAAGGAGAACTAACAGATAATCATGTTTCCATCTAGCTATTGTCTTTATTCTTCTAGGTGGTACAGACTGCAAGTTTGCAACATACTGTCAAATGAGTCTTGAAGAGTTTCTGCAGTGCAATTTATAGTTGGTCCCTATCTGTGCTAAGTGATGGAAGGAGTGAATATTTAAGGTGGTGCCTGAGATAATTTAATTATTTAGTATTAAGTCCCTGGAAGAATCTATAAAATTAATGCATAATAACTTTCTGTACACTGCTCTTGGTAAGGAGCATTGTCCACATTGCATACGTTAAAATTTGACATTTATCACAGCATCTAAACTTCTGATATGCACAATTAACTGGCAAGACTTATCATACTTAAATGGAAAGTTGGAGAGGTATCCCAATAATGTAAACACATTATAGCCTCAACCTACACAAAAAGTGACCCTTTGCAAAGTTATCCAACAATGCCAGTCAAAATATGACAGAAAGTGTACCTTAGTCTCGCTTACGAGCATGTTGTACCACAAAATAGAAGCCCAGCCACTGGGGAGCTGGCTAACATTGGATATCACCACCAATGGTAAAGATGTAGTCTGCACAATTGGAGGAGAAAAGAGAAGTCAGAAGCATATCAAATAGTTAAAGATTTCAAAGAATTCAAAACTCACTCTTAATACTGTGAGATGTAAGTAGTGAAAGTTCCATTGAAGAGGCTATTAATCTACTTAATCTCTCTTAATTTTGTAAAAATAAACAAACAGGCACTAAAAACAAAAGTCATGAGATTTAGTTTCAAATTCAACTATATTAAACTTACTTTGTTTAAAGATGATGATCCCATCACCATTGTCTCAGTAACGAGTAATTGACAATTGATGCCAGACTTGCCAGGGATACTTGCGTCCCAAGATTTACATTTTGAACCCACAAAAGCATGGAATTTGACTTAAAATTGCTCCAAGATTCCACATTAATTTATAGAAATGTTTTTTTTTGTACTGAAAACTCACCTCTAGATCAATTATCAGATTTTGGTGACAGCACTGAGTTTCGAAGCTGATGGAGTGAAGTTCCTCAGTCACAATAAGAGGACCCTGTTACAGCAGATTAGAATACTAATTTTGGTTTTAAAACAATACAAAAGTAGTTTGAAAAAAAGCAACTCTGCCAAAAAGATTATGCTTTCAATGTATCAGTGGTGAGAGGTGAGGTGGTCAGCAATAACTAGAATGATAGGCAAGCAGGAATTGGTGATTTGAAACTTAAAGAGGAGATGTTGAAGGAGAAGTTGAGCTTAGGGGTAATCATATCATAACGCTTACTTCTGTTGTTCGGCTCCCTGCATTCTTCTGTTCCTTCAGTTGCTATAATATAGGAACAGACCATATATTGGAAATTACATTAAGTTTAAAAATATGTACTGTTTTGTAAATTTCACTACTGAACTGAACTATGAACAATTCCAGTGAAATAGTTGGTGACTGAACTCAACCAAGTGTTTGATTTTCAGCTGCCTACCAGATGCCTGAATTCAGCAGCTAAACTTCCATTTGTTGACTCCTCCATGTTCATCACTTTTGTGTTAGTTCCTAGTATATTGAATTTTCGAAATCTACGAGAAAATAAGGGATAAAGTAAATCGCATGCATGAGAAAAGGCAAAATTATAAAAAAAAAAATCAGAAAATAATTGGCCGTACTTACCCCTTTATCGCACACTTTTCAGCTACATCTCTGAAAATAAATTACAGTATTAAATCCTATTTCTAATGCAAAACCCTTAAAATAGCAGATTTAATGACGAAATAGCAACTGTCTTAAAAATCAACTGAGAAATTAGGATGCATTATTATATTTTCTAATCCTACTATGAAACCAATATGGATCTGAACTAGACATATTGACTCATGGTTGTATACAATGAATATTAACTGGCCTTAATGTTAAATTATTACTTTTGCAAATAAGGTGACTCTTACAATTTGCAACAAAACACACATACAAGTATTATAATGTTACATACTTGTCAAAGGATGCTTTTACACGCAATTGGTAATTTAGTTCTGGTAGCCTTACCAGGAGCCTGTAACAAAATTGGAAAAAAGTAAGAAAGAGGCACCCTATAGCTGATTAAACAGAAAATCACAGCCTTGTGACAAATAATAACATTTTATTGTTATTAATTAGCAGTGGTTCCAATTCTTCCCATTTGCCGCTTCCACTCTTAATCCCTATTTTGGTGATCTATAGGCTTAAAACTAAGCATGAGAGCTAGATGTGAGTGATGCTATCAAGTCGGACTGTGCAACAACATACTTTCCCTGGGTACACCTACCTCGCGTCAACAAGTTTGCAACAATCATCCATACAAATGTCCCAATAATGGTATCAAGGATAAACTCTATGAGGACCTGGATAAAGCTACCGCAAATACTTCATACAACGAGACATTTACTGTATAAAGACTTCACTATGAAGGTTAAGGTAAAATGTCTTAGGGCATCAAGGTACGGGAAAATGTAGCAGCAAATGTACTCCTGCTGGCCTTTGCGGTCACAGGAAAACATCAATCAGTAACACCGTTTTTAGACAGCAGGCAAAATACAAAAACAGAGCAACACAAAAGATGTTATGACCACCAAGGTTACGAGAAGAGTGGATGTTCCACTCAAGATGAAATTCACCATCACCAAAAAGATGACCTACATGCATTAAAACACTAAGTAAGTGAGATGTGAGAAACTAGTGGCTAGAAAGTCCTGTGAACAATTCAGGTTCAGACGAGGGCTCAGACTTGTCCTCTAAATCATCATTTGGGTTTTTTCTGAAGTGGTATAGTCAAATTTCAAATCAATAATTCAGGAGGCTGCTAATGCTATCCTGAGAACAGCAAAGAGTCCACCAAGATTGGTTTGATGAAAACGATGATCAAATTAAGGCACTGTTACAGGAGAAAAATGCAGCATGGCTGGGAATCAAACATACATCTGCCCCTAAGATATTACTCCAGGACAGCTAAAGGAACCGCCAAGAGATGCTGCATAGAACACAAGCTTCATCCTAAACTGATCAGCACGAAGCGAGGAACTTCTATAAAGCCATGAAGCTGGAATATTGTCCTTTCTCACATGACTCACTATTTCATCATGCCTGCAAGGAATCTCTCCTGATGGACAGAGCATTATCGAAAAGCATGAAATGAACGCCTAATGGACATGCTCAACTGTTCAGCCAACATAAACAGGGCAGCTATAGACAGGTTTTAAAGGCTGACCCAAAAATAGAAAACTTGACAGCAAGCCTGTGGAAGTCAACAAAGCTGTCAGATAGTCAATTTCAAGAGTGGTTCCAAGCTCAGATGGGGTCCCAAGAGAAATTTACAAATGTTTGCAACCCTTTCAGCAAGTATGAGTGAAATGCTGCATTAACGGGACTCACTGTGCCATTGCCATCCTGTCAAACGCCTTTGACAGTAAATAGAGGGTGCTCGTGGAAAGACAGAGCCAAACACTGGTGTTCTTGATAGAGCTATAAATCCAACACAGCAGTTTCACAACGGAATTACGAACAGGGTTGCTGACGATTACTGAATGAGTGGTAACAATTTTCTAAAGTGACTGACTACAATCTACCCTCTAAAACCATCAATAACACAACTCTGAAAGTTATAGGTAATGGCACTGATTTTGGAAAGACAATGTCAGAAAAGTATGCTTTGACATAGAGGTGGGAAAGAGAAATGTCAGAGCAAATTTGCCCATTCACATAGAGACTCTGTAGCAGTTGATGCATCAAATTTGCAACAAAATCTGCAATGCTCAAACCCTTGGTAGTCCCCAGCTTTATCCTAAGAGAAGGTCCACCAACTCAGATGTATTAAGCAGTTGGACAGGTTCCACTTAAGATACATCTAGTTCATCACAGGCATTTTATCCTCTCACTTGATCCTTAATGTCAAAGTACTTCAAAGAGCAGAAATGTCTGAAATTGAAGCACAAATCAGAGCTTAGCTCAGATAGCGTGGATGTTTGATGAATGATAAAATTATTAAGGGAGTCATATATTCACTACTTAAGCCTGGACATCACCTGCAAGGTAAACTGAGATTAAAGTTCAGGACGCCTTGAAAGCTTGCCCAGTGCAGATTGAGACAAAAAAAGTGGACAAGAATGAACAACCTGGGGAGCAATTTCCAGTAGTTATTTTGCTTCCTTCAAAAAAGGAAGGATACAGGAAGAAGCAAGCTAGAATTAGAATGACTGTTAAACCTGAAAAATAAAAAAAAAATTCATCCTTGCCTACATTGTGGAAGTCATACAGTCTGCAAGTTGGTCTCCACGGCCATGCTGGAATGCATAACAAATAACCCTCCACAGACAAGAAATCACCATCTTTGATAGTGAAAGGAAATAGATGGACTCAAAACCATTCTATTCAGAAACAGAAATTTCTGTGTAAAGTCTGATGTTCATCACACAATGCATCATGACTGAAAAGGGCTACAAGGCTACAAATTAATTTTCATTTATAAAAATGATGGATGCTATTTTATTAAGACACACATCTTACCATTGCTTTTTGTGAACCTTAACACAGTTTTTTTTTTGAATGTTATAAAACATTGTCACATCAACAATACTGCAGAGTAATATCTGCAGAGTAATCATTAAGTGCTATGATGAAAAATTATTCCTTTAAAACATCACACTTTCCAGCTACAGTCTACAGCTACTTCAGTCTGTTTAATGCCTTCAGTTTCTCATTATAGACTGCATGGTCTTAAGCTCTTACTTAATAAAATGTTGGGGCCTATTCGGAGCAATCAAAATAATAACATATCATAAAGCTTCCCAAAAGCTCATTCAAATCGATCTGATAAGAAATGAGATTTAAGTTCAGGGACAAGGCTAATTTAGCTGTAGACAACTAGACGGTTTTGAGAAAACCATCAATCAAAACCATCAATCCATGGTCTTATACCACACCAACCCCAAGACTTAATATTTTCCAGTATGGAGGTTACTTCTACTCAAAGGTTTAAAAAAAAAATCACTAACCTTAACTTAACAGTAAACTGCACACCAGTTTTGAGGACCATTGGTCTCTGAGGATGAGTTGGCATGCAAGGTTGTCTCTCCACCACAAAGGAACTGGAGTACAGAGTGGAACATAAATACATTCAGTTTAATGTAAATCATCAAATGAAGTATTCCTTTTAAAAGAAAGGCAATACAATATACCCAGAGACAGTCTGAAGGGTAACCAAGGTTAATGAGTTGATGATCTGAAAAGAATTTAGCGATTATTCACATGGAAGAGTATGCACAAACATCAGTGAAGATGTTGGCCGAGTTGAAGGTGCCTCTCAAATTAGAGGAAGAAACAAGTTTATTTTCACTTTAACCAAGCTCTTTTAGGTCAGATACTGGGAAAGTCTACAGAAGTATACAGTGTACAAATAACTATTTCTGCAAAATGTCTACATTGTTGAAAAGTGATTATTGGGGACAAATAGTAATGGTAAGTTTGATTTTGCTTAATTTTTTCGGCAAGGTCACAGTTAAAACACACCATCTCAGGTGATAGCTGAACAAAGGCCATGTGCCACATTACTAGATCATTGCCAACACTTATGGAACTGAACTCTAGGAAAGATCAATAGGCATAAATTGATCTTTGTCACTAGTGTGAAATAAGCTCACAGCAATTTAGCAATCTCCGGGTCCTATTTTCCATTTTGTTTGGGGCTGTGGAACATCAGAAAGGAGAGAAATGGCTCTTACAAGGTTTAAATTGGAGGGAATTCAGATTAATTTTTTTTTATTAAAGTCATGTTTCTTCAAGCTTTCTTTGAAAGATTGTTACCTTTTAATAAGATTGCAAAACAAATTGTTGTTCCTTTCCTCCAGAAATTGCTTGTTGTGAGTAATGGGGTCTCCATCATATGAATATTTCTGCTCAAGCTCTTCTAATTTCTTTAACTGTTGCCGAACCTGCTGCAAACTCTCAGCCAGCAACGTGAACCTGAAAGTACAACCATCAATGAAACTATCCAGAAGTTACAGCTCTCACTTATTTTTTTCATTTTCCAATGAAACTATATAATCTTAAAATTTAACATTTTCAATTAACATATTTTCCCAATAAACAACGGTGTACCCAGCGCAAACTGAAACCTGTAAACTTGCTTCAGACCCGAACAAATTGCACTACAATAGATACAAACTGCCCCTTTAAACTATAGATATTGCGAACTACAGACAGCCTTCAAGTATTTTTTTTCTTTCGTGGGAGCTGAGTATCGCTGGCATAGCCAGCATTTGTTGCACGTTCCTAACTACCTCACAGTAGGTGATAGAGAACATGTTCCTTTCTGTACCCTTTATTTCCTGGTTTTAGGTGGCCTTGATTCTTAGAACTTCTCAGTTGTAGGCATAAAACCAAAAATAAAGATTCAACAGCTGCAACAGACTCCATCTTTATAACATTTACCCAATATCATTTATGGAAGTTATGCAATATCACACCAGATGCCATGACTCAGAGCCAGATGCATGCAGCAGGTCTACTCCACTGCTGTGTCAATGTACTGATAAGCTGCAAATGCAGGACTTTCCAGAGTGGGGTCAGGACACAAAGTTGAAATTTTGGAGTTGCGAGGTCAGAGGCACCAATGGCTGGCATTTGGCCTGGCCCCTTCCTCTTCACTCTCAGGGGTCCTGTCTCCAGGCCCCTGTTCTCATAGACCTTCCCAGTCCCAAGTCCCAGAATGGGTCACAACAATTTTTAAGCCTCAAAATCTGGTCACAGTGGAAAAAAATGTTTGGGAAGTATTGTACTAACAACACATGGAAAAAAGGGGCCCAGTATGTTGGACATCAAGTGCCCCAAGCCACTCGAGCCCAGACAATGTGGCCAAATTCTCCAAAATACTTGGCCCCGACAGAAACCACCTTGTCCTGTGCGAGCTACAATTGTAGTAGATTCAAAAGAAGAACATCCCACTTTCAACGGGGAAGGGAAAAAACACTCTGGAATGGGAATCCAAAGTAGACCCAGCAAACAGAAAATGAACTGAAAACACTCCTGACAGGCTGGTGAATTAGGCATGATCCCAGGTGATGACACAAGTATGGAACACATCAGGAGATATAGCTAATTCCCAAATATTTGGTTTATCCTATTTACAGTACAAATAAAGACCATTTTGAAATCCCTAATTTATAGTTTTTACAGTATCTGAAACTACTGTTAAATGTGACTAATAGATTGGGTAATACTGCAAGACAAATGGATTGTTGAAGGGAGGATGGAAGATGGTTCAAGTTACCCTTTACAAGCACCCAATACTGCCTGGAAAGTTGGCAGAATGGAGAGGACAGAAAGAAATAAGGTGACTTTCCAAACTCTCTGTTGACAAGGGCTCTGGGATTGGTTAGCTGCCCTCTTATTAATATTTCTTTATTGGGTTATAATTATCAGTGTTTGATATAATCACAGCTTCTAAATGACCATGTCACTCAACTGACTTCTTGGTATTCCCTGGATGTTAAAATCAATAGTCTGTACTATCAGCAAATCTCAGAGAAAGATGCGACAACTTGATGAAAAGAAAAAGCCTACTAACCATTGTTGCAGCTGGTCAAGACAGGTGTTTGGTGGTCCACCAATGCATGCAATCTGTTGTCTCCGTTTCCATTCCACCAACTCTTCATTGATCAAAATTCCCTCAATTTTCTCTGTTTCATTCAGCAGGGAAGCAGTTTTATTGATTACATCCTACAAACAACAGCTCAGTGTGTTAGTGAATTCTATATCTACAAAGTGTGCAAGAAAGTCATATAATACCTCGTTCTAGAGCATGTGCACATGTACACATGACAATGTATCTAAAATACACAAATGCCCATTTAAAAGATTAAATTTTTTCAATGAATTGAATATATGGTTGTTTTAGAATGCAATCAAGTTTGAACATTCATCAAAATAAACAATCCAAGCCTGTATTTCAAAAGGTTCAAATCAGAATGTCACAATTGTGGACTGATCCTCGAGCAGGAGTAGGCCATTTGGCCCCTCACCGTTCGATATGTTTTTGCTTATGATAAATTTCGGTTTCATCTTAAATTTTGGATTTGGAAATATAAAAGCTGTGAATCAGATGGCTACCTATAAGCATAATATGATGGCAATTAATAATGCATTGGCAATAGCCTAAGCACCTTAAACATTGTTTACCTTTCGTTTCAAATCCAACTTGAGCATCATATTGTGAAGAAGGACTTTTTCTTGTTTAATTTCATTTTGAGCCAAACCATTCACTTCATGTTCTAAATACAAAATGAGAATGGAATATAAAACACCAAACAGTTAATTTGTAAGATAACAAATCCTTCATATGACTGCAAAGTACAGTAAAAGAATAGCAATTTACACAACTTATTTCACCAGCATCCTCAGGGTATACACGAATATAAAATGTACTTCTTACCTCGACTTTGCAAAGTTTTAGATCGGAAATCAAATTCATCTTGAAGATCTTCAAGAGACTTGATTTCCTGTTCAATCTCCTATAATCACAAAACAAATATCAAGTAGAACAAAAGTACATTATATGGTATCTGTGATGAGAAAGAGTTAACGTTGAGTCCAGACTCAAAATGTTAACTCTGCTTTCCCCCCACATATGCTGCCAGATCTGCTGAGTTTCACCCACAATTTCCGTTTTTGTTTCAGATCTCCAGCATCCGCAGTTCTTTGTTTTATTTTGTTACATATGGTGCTTTTCATAACCTCATGTCCCAAAATGTTTCAACAAAAATGAACTACATTTTGAAGTGTAGTCATCATTTATATAGGGGTGGGGAAGGCTAGTTAATTTGCACACAGTATAATCCTAAAAAAACAAATCATCAGCTTTGTTTCAGTTATTTTGATCGGGGATGATGTTATGCGAGAGAATTCCCTGTTGCAGTTGTATAGGATGTTGGTGAGAGCACTTTTGGAATACTGCATACAGTTCTGGTCACCCTGCTATAGGAAGGATATTATTAAATTGGAAAGGATGCAGAAAAGATTTACAAGGACGTTACTGGGACTGGAGGGTTTGAGTTAAAAGAAGTTGGATAGCTGGGTCTTTTCTCCCTGGAATTGCACGAGGTTGAGGGGTGACCTTATAGAGGTTTATAAAATCATGAGGGGCATTAATAGGTCAATAGCCAATGTCTTTTCCCGAGGGTGAGGAAGTTCAAAACCACAGGGCATAATTTTAAGGTGAGAAGAGAAAGATTTAAAAGGGACCTGAAGGACAACATTTTCACAGGGGGGTTTACGGAATGAACCACTAGAGGAAGTGGTAGATGCTGGTACAGTTAGATTATTTAAAACACATTTGGACAGGTACATGAATAGGAAAGGTTTAAGAGGGATATGGAACACAAACAGGCAAATAGGACTAGTTTAGTTTGGGAAACCTGGTCAGCATGGACGAGCTGGACCAAAGGGTCTGTTTCTCTACGACTCTAAAAACAGGATTGCTTGTATTCAGTTGGACAAAGTTTAATAACTCATCCAAATGATGTCATTTCAGATCATGCAGTACTTCCTCAAAATAATCTAGATTGTGTCTTCTAGTCACAGAGTCAGAGTCCTACAGCATAGAGACAGGCCCTTCGGCCCAAACTGGTCAATGCCAACTAAAATGTCCATCCATGCTAACCCCATTTTCCTGCATGGCCCATATCCTTCTAACGCTTTCCTATCAATGAATTTGTCCAAATGCCTTTTAAACGTTGTTAATGTACCTGCGTCAACCACTTCCGCTGGCAGCTCATTCCATATGCCTACCACCCTGTGTAAAAAAATTGCCCCTCAACTGCCCATGTGCGCTTTCCCCTCATTACCTTAAACTGATGCCCTCTAGTCCTCAATTCCCCAACCCTGGGAAAAAGCCTGAGTCATTTACCCTATCCATGCCTCTCAGGATCTTATACACTTCTATAAGATTACCCCCTCAGTCTCCTAAGCTCTAAAGAGAAAGGTCCTAGCCAGTCCAAACTGTCCCGAGAACTCAGTCCCTCGATTCCTGGCAAAATCCTTGTAAATTTCTTCTGCACTCTTTCCAGTTTAATAGCATCCTTCCTATAGCAAGGTGACCAAAACTGAACACAATACTCCAACTGCAGCCTCATCAATGTACTGTACAACTGCAACACAACTTCCCAACTTCTATACTCAATACACAGACTGATAAAGGCCAGTGTGCTGAAAGCCTTCTTCGCTGACCTGCCAACCTGTCACTTCACTTTCAGAGAACCGTGCACCTGAACTCCAAGGTCCCTCTGTTCCACTACACTCCTTAAGGTCCTACCTTATTCACACAGGAAAAAGACAATGTTGTCGAGGAGAATACTGAGATACAGGCTATTAGACTAGACGGGATTGAGGTTCATAAGGAGGAGGTGTTAGCAATTCTGGAAGGTGTGAAAATAGATAAGTCTCCTGGGCCGGATGGGATTTATCCTAGGATTCTCTGGGAAGCTAGAGAGGAGATTGCAGAGCCTTTGGCTTTGATCTTTATGTCGTCATTGTCTACAGGAATAGTGCCAGAAGACTGGAGAATAGCAAATGTTGTCCCCTTGTTCAAGAAGGGGAGTAGAGACAACCCTGGTAATTATAGACCAGTGAGCCTTACTTCGGTTGTGGGTAAAGTGTTGGAAAGGATTATAAGAGATAGGATTTATAATCATCTAGAAAGGAATAATTTGATTAGGGATAGTCAACACGGTTTTGTGAAGGGTAGGTCATGCCTCACAAACCTTATTGAGTTCTTCGAGAAGGTGACCAAACAGGTGGATGAGGGTAAAAGCGGTTGATGTGGTGTATATGGACTTCAGTAAAGCGTTTGATAAGGTTCCCCATGGTAGGCTATTGCAGAAAATATGGAGGCATGGGATTGAGGGTGATTTAGCGGTTTGGATCAGAAGGCTAGCTGTAAGAAGACAGAGGGTGGTAGTTGATGGGAAATGTTCATCCTGGAGTTCAGTTACTAGTGGTGTACCTTAAGGATTTGTTTTGGGGCCACTGCTGTTTGTCATTTTTATAAATGACCTGGATGAGGGCGTAGAAGGATGGGTTAGTAAACTTGCGGATGACACCAAAGTCGGTGGAGTTGTGGATAGTGCGGAAGGATGTTGCAGGTTACAGAGGGACATAGATAAGCTGCAGAGCTGGGCTGAGAGGTGGCAAATGGAGTTTAATGCAGAAAAGTGTGAAGTGATTCACTTTGGAAGGAGTAACAGGAATACAGAGTACTGGGCTAATGGTAAGATTCTTGGTAGTGTGGATGAGCAGAGAGATCTCAGTGTCCATGTGCATAGATCACTGAAAGTTGCCACCCAGGTTGATAGCGTTGTTAAGAAGGCGTACGGTCTGTTAGGTTTTATTGGTAGACGGATTGAGTTTCGGAGCCATGAGGTCATGTTGCAGCTGTACAAAACTCTGGTGCGGCCGCACTTGGAGTATTGCGTACAGTTCTGGTCACCGCATTATAGGAAGGATATGGAAGCATTGGAAAGGGTGCAGAGGAGATTTACCAGGATGTTGCCTGGTATGGAGGGAAGGTCTTATGAGGAAAGGCTGAGGGACTTGAGGCTGTTTTCGTTAGAGAGAAGGAGGTTAAGAGGTGACTTAATAGAGATATACAAGATGATCAGAGGATTAGATAGGGTGGACAGTGGGAGCCTTTTTCCTCCGATGGTGACGGCTAGCACGAGGGGACATAGCTTTAAATTGAGGGGTGATAGATATAGGACAGATGTCAGAGGTAGGTTCTTTACTCAGAGAGTAGTAAGGGTGTGGAATGCCCTGCCTGCAAAAGTAGTAGACTCGCCAACTTTAAGGGCATTTAAATGGTCATTGGATAAACATATGGATGATAATGGAATAGTTTAGGTTAGATGGGCTTCAGATTGGTTTCACAGGTCGGCGCAACATCAAGGACCGAAGGGCCTGTACTGCGCTGTTATGTTCTATGTTCTATGTTCTATTCACCGTGAAAATTCTACCTTGATTTGACTTTCCAAAATGCAACACCTCACACTTATCTATATTAAAATCCATTTGCCATTTCTCAGCCCACTGGAAAAAAGCTTGAAGTAGTGACCATCTAACATTCAAGCTACAGTGGGACTCACCCTACCCAACATTTGGCATGGATCAAAGAATGATTGAAAAATTGTGAACTTCTTTTATGTTGCAAATGAACTATTTATCAAAGTTTGTTGTAGGTGATAGCCCCATCCAATGTAATAAATACAGGTTATTCATTCACAAAATAACCTTGGATGATTAGATTTTACATGTCTTTAATTCTCTCAGTTTCCATTTAAAACTGTAATAAAGTACGATGCACACAACACAGCTTCCAACATTCACAATTAGGAACTGAATTAGAGATGCAGAAAAGCTCCTGAAGTGTAAAACGTTGACATTTGAAGCAAACAATTCTAAAAGAATCATCATAGGTATTTTACAAAGATTTGGATATTAAGCAACTTCATATTAAAGTTCTATATCCGAATGCAGAATATGATAATGATCCTAAATCATCATCTCTTAATAACCTTAGAATTCTGGGCCTTTTTGGGTCCTCTATCCATCTTGTTTATTTAATTTCCTTCCAGTCTGATCCCCAGGTAAACCTGAGATAATTATGGGCTGAAATTTCTCAGCCATTTGACTGTGGGCTTAGAGGTAGGGGTAAGACTGCTTCAGGACAGTTCCTAAACCATTATGATCATCAAGGAATTCTTCCAGAGAACAGGCTGGGAATCGGATCTGTTGCCTGCTCCAGGGAAGTGGGCAATCAGTTAGCTTTGTTAATGCCTTATATAGGTTTGAATAGATGGCCATGCTGACATTTTGCCACCAGTAAAGACATCCCCACACAACATGCAGAGCCTGACAGCTCAATGAAGGATTTCCCTACCATAGGTTGATGGTTCATCGGAGGCTGAGGCTCCATCTTTGGGAACCAGCAGGGCTACAATAAAGAACGGCTGCAAATGATCCAACCAAGGGGTTCCCCTGCATTTCCAAGTACCCGCCAACCTAGATTTTGTTTATTTCTGCACAAACTTCACAAGCAATTCAAAAGTAGATTCGGAAGAATGCCACATTTCAACTTAACATGCATTCTACTGTATCACAGTGGTAGATAAAAGTAAGAAAGCTATTCAGTTGTGACTACAATACATACTTGAACATTGCTCTTTATGTTCTTCACTTTCTGATCCAGCTGTTTCTGCTTATCCTGAATTACAGTGTTCTGGACAGGACCAACATGATTCTACAAATTAAAACAAAAGTGCAACTAACTCAAATATTCGAGTGATTTCCACAATTCTGATATTAGGTCAGGTTTCTGAGTCAGTGCTACAGTTCTGCCAGCGAAAGTGCAGAGTTGAAAATTTCAGGATCACAAAAACTACTGCTGACAATAAGTCCTTTGGCAAATTTGAAAATGAGCAAAAATGTTAATAGCTACTGCTCTCCTAGTGACTTATTTGAGATAACCAGCTCCACAAATCAGATTTAACTTCTCCTTCCTGTGGTTTCTCTGACTCATTTTCCAAACTTATGCTTCCGCTAGTGGAACTGTAGCACTAACTCAGAGCTAAGTCAGAAAGAAAATGTTAGCTGGGATTGGAAAACCGTCTCTAGATAAAAGATAAGGGGCACGGTGTGTGTGAATCCTACATTTCTATACTGGAGAGGAACTGTGTCTTCTTTCTAAGTCCATCAGATCATGTAACAGATTTTAAATCAGAAGGTACAAATGTAAATCAAATCCACCAGCAGAAACAACTCATAAAGACCTTGACTAGGTATGTATCAAGCCATTCCTGAATATTTAGTGATGATTTTATTTTTAAATTCAGGAGAGATGTCATCTCAGGAAAATCAGCCAAGAACAGAAAACCAGAATGCTGCCACAATACAATTATAACAAGACAGTCCACCACCTACAACCTCGCCCCAAATTTCAACCTCATGAAGGAGGGGACAGGATGGCTGCTGATGTTCAGCAAAAATGAGTGTCTTACATCATTCATGACACGTGCACAAACCCACTGCATTTGAGCAGCACAAATTTGAACAGATGGGACAACAAGTATTATTGTAGAACACACCATAACAATATTGATAAAGGGTTCAGTTCACTTAAACATTTCAGGACACTTCTTCAAATGTTCCCCATGACAAGCGTGACATCGCAAATGAACTTAGAAGTGGAAAAGCAGCAGCAGTATTCCACCTGGGACAAGACTGACTAGATAACAGAGGAGAAGCAGAAGGAGGGCTCTCTCAAAACTTCAATCAAGATCCAAGGCTAGCTTCTAACTATTCTGCTAAACTGCTTAGGCACCCATTTAGACACCCTCTCACCAAATCACCACGCTGCCCCCAGTCATTTCATAAGATGGTGGCTGATCATGCAAATCATTACCCTGCTCCTGCTTTCTCCACATTGCCTTTGATCCCTTTAGCCTCAAGAACTATATCTAATGTCTTCTTAAATACATTCAATGTTTTGGCCTCAACCACTTTCTGCCGCAGAAAATTCCACAGGCTCCCTCCTCTGGGTGAAGAAATTTCTCCTCATCTCAGTCCTACCCTACATTAGTCACATCCTTCCTGCATTTACTCTGTCTAGTTCTGCTACAATTTTAGAAGCTTCTGTGAAATTCCCTCTCGTATTTCTAAACTCCAGCGAGTATAGTCCTAACCAGGCTAGTCTCTCCGCACACATCAGTCCTGCCATCCCAGGAATCCATCTGGTAACCTTTGTTGCACTCTATCCACAGTCAGACATCCTTCCTCAGATAAGAGCACCAAAGCTGCACACAATATTCCAAAAGTGGTCTCACTCAGGTGCTGCACTAACCCAGCATGACATCCCTGCACCTCTACTCAAATGTTCTTACTTTGAAGGCCAAAATACTATTTGTCTTCTCACTGCCTGCTGTACCTGCATGCTTAATTTCAGCAACTGGTTCTACTACCACCTTCTCAAGGGCCACTAGGGATGGGCAATAAATGCTGGCAAACCAGCAAAGCCCACGTCCCACAAACAAATAACAAAAACTGGCGTACAAGGACACCCAGGTGTCATTGCACCTCCCCCTTTCCCAATCTAACACCACTCAGATAACAATTTGCCTCCTTGTTTTTGCTACCAAGTAAATAACTTCACCTTTATCCACATCTGCCAAGCATTTGCCCACTCACTCAACTTGTCATAATCAGACAGAAGCATCTCTGCATTGTCTTTATGCTTCACTCTCCCACCCAGCTTTGTGTCATCTTCAAACTTCAAAGATATTACATTTAGCTCCCTCATCTAACTCATTAAAATGTATTGTGAATATCTGGGTTCTAAGCTTGGTACCTCATTACTCAGTGCCTGTTTCTCGGAAAAAGACCCAGTTATTCCTGTCAGCCAACCAGCTCTCTATTCATGTTAGGACACAACCCTAATCCCATGCATTTTAATTTTACAATGCTAATCTCTTATGTGGGGCCTTTTGAAAGCCTTCTCAAAAGTCAAGTAAATCACATCCACTGGCTCCACCTCTGCAACTCTACTAGTTGCATTTTAAAATATTTTGATAGATTTATCAGGCATGTTTCCCCTTTTGTAAATCCATGCTAATTCTATGTGATTCTGTCATGATTTTATAAGTGCTCTGTTACTAAATCTTTTATTATGAACTCTAGTATTTTCCCCACAACCAATATCAGGCCAACCAGTCCTTAATTCCATGTTTTCACTCAACCTCCTTTTTTAAAGGAGTGGGGTTATGTTAGCTACCCTCCAACCCAAAGGAATTGTTCCAGAATCTTGGAAGTTGACCACAAATCCATCTGTTGCTTCCCACTTCCTTCCTTGCTCTGGGATATGGATTATCAGGGCCTGGGGATTTATTGACCTTTAATCCCATCAATGTCCCCTACAGCATTTCCCTACTAAATACTGATTTCCTTCCATTCCTCCCTCTCTCTAGATTCTGTGTTCCCAAACATTTTTGAAATAGTATTCCTGTCCTCCATTGTCAAGACAGAATCAAAATATTTATTTGTTTGGTCTGCCATCTTCTTGTTCCCTATTATGACTTCCCCTGTTTCCTGACTTTAAAACATTTGCTTTAACTAATCATTTTATCTTCACATAATTTTTACAGTTTGTATGTTTCCCATGAGCTTACTCTCGGTTAATGACAATATTAACAATGCAGACTCAAAGCTTCTGTTTAACCATAAACAAAAATATCAAGTCAATCTGTTTTATTGCATTTAACAGTAATTATCATTTACACTTTCCATTTAACTAAGTAATTAACCTTTTCCTTAAAATGTTCCTGCCTAACTCAATTATTTCTCAATTGCTGTCTTGGCAGCCTCAGGGACACTGGGTGAAGGTTGTTGCTTCTCATGTGTGGAAACTGGAGATAGTCTGGCAATGACTTCTGGGTGGTTACACTCAGGAGGCTGGGCTGCAAGATCTTGGTTTCTGCCAAAACTGTGTGCCTTCAGCTGACACCATGATGGATATTACTTGATGTCTAAAAGAGGCAATCATTTCCTGCTGATATCTTGGGAACTGGGTCTCAGTGTTCCTACTGATCTGCAACAAAAAGTGCAAGATGACAATGGACTCTCTCAAAGCTCCAGTTTACTCCGTTCCATTAATCTTTTAGTTGTGAAACACAGAGTCTACGTGTCAGTTATCTGAACTTCCTCTGTGAGAGATCAGATGCAAGTTTCTGACTGGTCCACAATCGGTAGGGAAGACAGTGGAATGCAGATAATGTGCAAAGTGGAATGGAAGTAACCGCCTGATGACAGTCACAAAACTCCATGCAATAACGATCAGGACTTCCCAATAACGATAACTAGTTCCAAAGAGCTGGGCCTCACAAAGTCTTATTCCCTGTTCTTTCAGCAGAGCTGGGAGAAAATGCTCACCTATTGTTTCTAGTTGCTTGAATAAGCAAACATTTCTTTTTGAAATTCATACCAGAGTGGCTCTCCAGCTACCCAACTCCATACAAATCTGACGTAATTGTGTTTCCTTTTGAAGAGATAGAAGTGCATAATAAACCAGCAAAATTGTATTTTCAATGTGGACTACTGCAGGTCATTACTAGCTTTAGATCCTAAGAAGCCGGAATATTCACTTCGCATAAAGGTGAAAAAATTGTTTTAAGAATGAATTGAAATAAAATGAATGAAAAAAAATACCTGTTCAGCTTTTAGTGCATTTTCCAGGATTTTCTTTTCTTCCTTCAGGCATTTAGATATTGTGAGTGCCATAAAAGTAGGATCTTCCTGGAAGTTAACCTATACAAATAAAAGAGATAGCTACAAATTGAAGAAGCGTACTTAAAAATGCTTATACTTGAAAAGTAAATTTCTACCAAACATTCTAGAAGTAGTTAGTATACTGTAATCTGTCTATATACCAGAGCAGTTGTCAATTTCACTATAACCCCACCCTGACTTTTAGCCAAGAAATCTGAACTCCTACTTTAGTGGTGAATGGGTGCCAAGTACAAACTCAACCTAATTCAAACTTACTCATTATAAAATCTCACACCATTGCAGGCTGCTATTAAATCTAACAATAAGAATACTTTTTGGCTCCTTTTAAGCTATTTTTGGGATGGGAACAGTCCCAATCCGAGTAGTTTTGTGATGGCACAATGATGGAAGAGGGTGGATTTCAACCACTTTAAATTGTTACTCATGTAAAAGTCAACCTCTTACTTTCTAACCAAAAAAAAGTAGTCTTCGAGATTTGACTCTTACACAAGCATATGTGGTAAGTTCTCAGAATAATCTTTAATCAATTACAATGTGCTTTACAAATGTAAACCCAATAAATGTTTGCATGAACAATTTGACTTTAAGTCAGTCTCTCTCACAAAATCACTTAAAGCTTATTATATTAAAATTTACATGTCTGAAATGTCCCCCCATAATAATTCCTCCTACTGCTAAAATAGCCCTCCAACTGTCAACTTACACCTGAATTTACTGCCTATTATCTAACATGTTGAAGTTACATGGCAATCACTTCAGCAGAATGTTTACATATAAAGCATATACTAAATTTAGTGTATATTTTACAATGTAAGTTAGTCTGTCAAATGTAAGAATCGGCTTATAGACTCAATATGTGTTGAGGATTTTTTAAATCTCAAACTTATCATTTAAGTCCTAGAAACAAAAACTGAATTACTTAACTGCATTACATCTAGATTTACTGAATTGGCTCAGTAAACATCTGATTTATTCTTTAGTAAACGTTAGTGTGGAGGTCAGTATATAAAAAAAAACTTACTCCACACATTATTTTAGAGTCCATCAGGTGAAGTGGAGGGAGGTGCACAGGCACAGAATATATATATCCACTTCACCTGACAAATGGGCAGCAATCCAAAAGCTTGTGCTCTTGAATAAACCTGCTGGACTATAACCTGGTGTCATGTGACTTCTGACTTTGTCCACCCCAGTCCAACACCGACATCTCCACATCATACATTATACATACAGGTACTTCAAAATATGGAGGATAATTCATGAACGCTAGAAACAATAATCAAAAGGATTGATTTTAACTTGGATAATTTGCCTTTTACTTCAGTCCTGATGGGAGGTGTACTTAAGCATCTGGGTTAAGAAACCGATTCATTCCCACATGTATTCATGTGTGGAATCTCGTATTCATACCTGAAGGTTGCGTTTGATTTTTCTGATGTTGTGCTGAAGCAGAAAGTTGTTCTCCAGAGAAAACCGACTGTATTGGTCATCTAACTGCACCAGAAGTTCATGGAACAAGACTATGGCCAATGAATCATTGATGGCAGCATGGTCCCTAACCAACACAAACAGTAAGTGAAAGATCAAACATCTCAGCTTGTGTAGCCAACAGTGATTTGCAGGTGTATTTGGATGGGGCAGGAGGGATGAAGAAGAGAGAATGAAATTGCATTTCAGTAATAACTCAAAATAGTCAATAGCACACAAGTAGTCTTAAGACCTCTGCAGCCCATTATCTATTGCAAAAGAAATGAGAGAACTACAAATTGGGTCAATTTGCAATCATCTGTTTTGCACGGTTATCAAATATCAACTTCATTCCCTGACTCCAATCTTAGTGTTAATCTTCAATTAGCTTTCTAAATTAGAATTGAAGGAATTCTTACCAGTCTTTAGTCTCCAGCCATTGTCCAAGGTACTGCCTGATTTCCATTGGAAAGTTATCATCATAGAGCTGATCTACTTGCTCCAGAAATTTGGAGTCTAACTGTTGTAGCTGGTACCACTGTGACATTCTGCAAAGAAATTGCACAAATATTTTAAGCAAAGTCACTTACATTTATATTAAATTCATGAAATATATACATGCAACATAGATTTGAAATATTTTATAACAATAACCACACTTCAAGTATAAAGTGGAAAAACATTAGCAGAAATATCCTTGCCTGACTTCAATACTTCCTATACCTTCAACACCTGCTGCTAAGATTTCTGTGCTGCTCCAATTCCAGCCTTTTCTATCCCCTATTTAACCACTCATCATTGGTAGATCTACTATCAGTGCTCTTAGTCCCAAGGTCTAAAATACTCTCCTTAAACTCTCCACTTCTCTCACTGCCTTTACAATGCTCCTGAAAACCTCAAAGCTGAGGCAGAAATAATCATTCATCCCTAAATGTGGGAAGAAATCAGAGCACCCAGAGGAAACCCACACAGAAAAGGAGAACGTGCAAACTCCACGTAGTCGCCCAAGGCTGGAATCGAACCTGGGTACCTGGCGCTGTGAGGCAGCAGCATTAACCACTGTGGCACTATGCCACCCTGCCATATATTAATGGAAAATAATTTACCTCAGAAGTTGCTATGCAATAAACTAATGCATTGGAAAGAAATCTGGATATCACCACCTACATAGCTAGCAGACAGCTCAACAACAAATCAGGCCAAACAGCATCATAGGAGCAGAGAGGCTGACGTTTCGGGCCTAGACCCTTCATCAGAAAAGGGGGAGGGGAAGGGGGTTTTGAAATAAATAGGGAGAGAGTGGGAGGCGGATAGAAGAGGGATAGAGGAGAGGATAGGTGGAGAGGAAACAAACAAGTCGAAGAGGCGGGGATGGGGCCAGGAAAGGTGAGTGTAGGTAGGGAGTTAGGAAGGGGATAGGTCAGTCCAGGGAGGACGGACAGGTCAAGGGGGCGGGATGAGGTTTCCGTGACTCCCTTGTCCGCTCCACACTCCCCTCCAGCTCCACCACACCTGGCACTTTTCCCTGCAACCGCAGGAAGTGCTACACCTGCCCCCATACCTCCTCCCTCACCCCCATCCCAGGCCCCAAGAAGACTTTCCACATCAAGCAGATGTTCACCTGCACATCTGCCAATGTGGTATACTGCATCCGCTGTACCCGGTGTGGCTTCCTCTACATCGGGGAAACCAAGCGGAGACTCGGGGACCGCTTTGCAGAACACCTACGCTCGGTTTGCAACAAACAACTGCACCTCCCAGTCGCGAACCATTTCAACTACCCCTCCCATTCCTCAGATGACATGTCCATCCTGGGCCTCCTGCAGTGCCACAACGATGCCACCCGAAGGTTGCAGGAACAGCAACTCATATTCCGCTTGGGAACCCTGCATCCCTTCCTAACTCCCTACCTACACTCACCTTTCCTGGCCCCATCCCCGCCTCTTCGACCTGTTTGTTTCCTCTCCACCTATCCTCTCCTCTATCCCTCTTCTATCCGCCTCCCACTCTCTCCCTATTTATTTCAAAACCCCCTTCCCCTCCCCCTTTTCTGATGAAGGGTCTAGGCCCGAAACGTCAGCCTCTCTGCTCCTATGATGCTGCTTGGCCTGCTGTGTTCATCCAGCCCTGCACCTTGTTGTCTCGGATTCTCCAGCATCTGCAGTTCCTACTATCTCTCTCAACAACAAATCAGACTGTTTATTAATTAGAGTAACATGGCACATTTGTCTACCTCCTGTTCAATGCATGCTTTCCTCCCCACACCCTAATCCCCGTGTTCCTTCAGAAAGACGTTTGCAGCAGTCTTAAAATTTCTGCCAATAGTGTAAATTGTGTAAATTCAGAATATATAAAGACAACTACATCTTGATCTAAACAAAATATATATGAATCCTAAAACTGAAGTGTATAGTAAAGGTAAAGATAAAGTTGCCTTGGTCCCAGATGTCCATAGTGCCGCTCTCAATGGAGAGAGATGGCTGGTGGGTAGTGTAACTCGAGTGTCACCCCTACTCAGGTGAGGGGCAAGGTTGAGAAGGCTGGACTTTCGTGGTGACCTCAGCTGGTTAAGAAATTAGGTCCATATTGTTGGTGTCACTCTGCATCGCAAAACAGCTGCTCAGCCAAACCCCTTACATGTATGGTATTAAAAGATGGCCAAGTGTCAGGCTTAATCAGGATGTCATCTACAGCTTACTAGGTTCTGCATTCGGGTCACACTTTAGAATTCAAAGAGATAATGTTGATTGACATTCTAGGGCATAGTCAAAAATGTCATCCTATCCATTAACTTAAATATACATTCCTTCCATCATAGGCACATAAGAATTGTGTAAATTGTCTGCAAAATGTGGTGAGGACAACGACTCACCAAAGTTCTTCAACAGCACCTTCCAACCCCAAAACTCTACATTACCCACAAGCAGCAGAACAAATAAACAGCACACCAAATAAATATACACTTTAGAGATAGTAGGAACTGCAGATGCTGGAGAATCTGAGATAACAAGGTGTAGAGCTGGATGAACACAGCAGGCCAAGCAGCATCAGAGGAGCAGGAAAGCTGACGCTTTGGGCCTAGACTTTAGTTCCGTCTTTGAAGATGTATAAAAAGAGACTACCTTACTTGGGACTATATTCACAACAGAAAGGAGTTAATGTTGTAGAAGCCTATAATATTCTAACAAGGCTAGACTGGGTAAATGCAGGGAGGACGTTCTCAATGACTGGGGTTTCCAGAACCGGGGATCACAGTCTAAAGCTACAGGTAGGCATTTTAGGACAGGGATGAGGATAAATTTCTTCACCTGGAGAGTCCTTCTCTGCTGCAGAAAGCAGTTGAAGCCAACACATTGAATGCTTTCAACAACAGGGTGTTAATATAGCTCTTGGGCCTAAAGGGATCAAAAAGTATGCAGAAAGCAGCCATATGGTACTGAGTTGGATGAGCAGCTATGATTATTTAGTGAGTGGAGCAGATTCGAACAGCCAGATGGCCTACTTCTGCTCCTATTTTCTATGACTCTATGTTTACCACCCAGAAGGACTAAGTTGGTATTTACATGCAAACATCACCTCATCCAAATTCCCCTTACAACAGATGCAATATAATGGGCCATGAGGAATGGTGAAGACATAACGTTTACAGTGGCAGTACAATGACTTGCTCCAAAATCTGAATGAGTACGACAAGACACATTTTTAGCACATAAGCAAGACCATTTTACTCTCTTGTCATACTGCTCTTTGTTTCTAATAGATGAACTATGTAATGGTGAAAAGCAGAGCAAGGAATGTGTCACTGCTGCGGTCTGTGCCAGTTTAGGACCAAAATGATTTCGGCCTGTGATAGTAAGTCTTGTTACTTGGCAAATGTTTAGAAATGTTTAGTATAAGGCAAAAAAAAAAGCACAGCCAGAATGTCCTCCAGTATTTTTGGAAGCATGGATGAAGTATCTGGACAAAATGTACCAGTGAAAGAAAACTCATAGATATTATAGCCCTGCGCACCCTAACATCACTGGCATCAAAACAGTGTCAAGCTGACATGTTTACCCACCACATCACTTGCTAAGCTTCAGCCAATGTATCAGGAGTGATCAGGAACTAGTAAAGCCACTATTGATGTCAGCTGAACTGTCAGGTTATCAAGACTACTGATAACTAGCAGGAGAACAACCCAGTTGTTCTAGAGACAATGTTGATAATGAAGGAAGTATGGGAGTTAATGACAGAAGCCATAGTCGCAGCAACTCCTCCTGCTATACAGTGCTCAAACAGGCTAAAATTGCACAGAATGCCAAGAATGTGGAGGAACAGGGGAGGCCAACCAACCTGAACCTGATGAGGAGGCACTTCTCATTTGCTTGCAGGTGAGCCAGCAGAAACTTACAGGGGTGGATGGGGCTTTATGCCACTTCTGACAGATGTTGCAAACAGATGTGATAGATTCTTCAACAAAAGGAGCCCAATGACTCTGAAATGTCCAATGAATGCTCTCCTAACAAAACTGGAGTCAATGGGAACTCTTCAAACAGTGTTGGGGGGAGGGGAATAATCGCTCTCCAGTTCGAGTCACACTCACACAAAACAAAGATATTTGAGATTGCTGGGAGACAATCATCTCAGCCACTGAACATTACTGCAGAGAGGCTCATGGTTTTTTTTTAATTAAACAACTAGTCACCACCAGTAAATCACCTGCATTGCCAATTGGATATTTATAACCAAAGTCCATCAAGGACAATGCAAACCTTCAAAAGTGAAGGGAGGGCGTTAGAGAGAGCAGGAGGGGTCGATTGGAAGGGGAAATAAAGCACTGTATCCCCTTCAGTACCCATGTCTCTAAAGGAATTGAGATGCATATGGTAGTGTCCCAGACCATCCATCTTCATTTGCTTCATCACTGACGTTCCCTTCATCGTAGGATGAGTTGGGGATGTTTACTGACGAGCGCACAATGTTCAGTAGCGTTCCTGTCTTATTAACCACTGAAGCAGTCCATGTCAATATGCAGCAAGACGTGGACAACATTCAAGCTTTGGTTATAAGCTACAAGTAATATTTGTGCAACACAAGTGCCTGGCAATGACCATCTCCAATAACAGGATGCAACCATTGCTTCATGACATTTAATGGCATTACCACTACTGAATCCTGCTCTTAGCGACATCCTGAGGAGTTACAATTAACCAGAAACATGAGCCATACACTGTAAATACTGTGGCTATAAGAACTGGAAATAATTTACCTCTTGACTCCTCAAAACCTGCCTACCATCTACAAGGCACCAATCAGGACTGTCATGGAATGAGCCCCACTTGCCTGGATGAGTACAGCTCTAACAACATTCAAGAAGCTTGACATCATCTATAACTCTTGGGTTATCTAAAATTCACCATTTTGAATATCAGTTTATTGATCTTACGTAGAAAATACACTGAATGGTCAGTACTGTTTTCCCAAGAAGTCCATCGCTAATTCCCAAGAAGTCCATCACATGAAAATTGACTGTCTTGTTTTTCATCATGCCCTGTTGCAAACAGAGGTTAGCTCACTAAGAGAATATACAAATATCATATTTTCAACAATTTTAAGCACACATTCCCAAGCCACATACCATCCTTACTTGGAACTACATCATTGCTCCTTCAGCATCACTGGGCCAAAGTCCTGATGCTCCCTTCCTAACAACACCTGCCATTTCTGCATCTCAAGGACTGCAGTGCCTCAAGAAGGCAATCCGTCACCATCTTCACTTGGGCAATTGGGAATGAACAATAATTACTGACCCAGCCAATGAAGACCACATCCCACAAACATCTAAAAAAAACCAAGGTCAGATAAAGCTTCACATTTTATTTTAAACAATCCACAAATTTCCTAAAATACAATCTGGTTTGAGAAAGATAAAGGTGTTCAAAACAATGGTGTCTAGACATAGTCAATATGAAGAAACTATTCATGTGTTTGGAACAGTCCAACACCAAACATTATAAATTTAAAGAGATTGCTGAAAGAAACAAAGGTGACACAAGGCAAGTAGCTCTGATCTCGAATATACTGCCTGAAAGGATGGTGGTGACTATTCATTTTTGGCTTTGGGAAGAAGGTTGAGGTCCAGGAATTGGGAGTCAGAGAGCCTGCACACACTTAACTGGCTGAATGGTCTCCTTCTGTACTGCAAAAATTATTTAATTTAGTGAATCACTCCCACCAACTCCATCACACTAAAGCCTAGCTGATCATCAGGGAAAACTCAGTACTCCAATTACGTCTGTGCACTGTGGGATGTGTCCCCCTTTATTTTGGTTCCTCAAGCTGTCTGAGCTGACAAACTGGGAGATGCTGCAAACCTGAAATAAATACAGAAAGTGCTACAGAAACTCAGCAGGTCTGGCTGCATCTGTGAAAAGTGAAACAGAGTTAACGTTTCGAGTCCAGCATGACTCTTAAGAACTGCTCTGAAGAAGAATCATACTGAACACTGTTTCTCTTTCCACAGATGCTTCCAGACCAAGAGTTATAGAATCATACAGCACGGAAACAGACCTTTCGTTCCAACCAGTCCATGCCAAACACAATCCCAAACTAAATTAGTCCCATCTGCCTGCTCCTGGCCCATATCCCTCCAAACCTTCCCTATTCATATTTCCATCCAAATGTCTTCTAAACGTTGTAAATGTACCCACATCCACTACTTCATTTGGAAGTTCATTCCACATACTAACCGCTGTCTCTGTACCCCCCGAGCCCCAAAGAGCGAAGTGATCGCGAACCAAAACAAAAATAGAAATCGCTTTAAAAATTTGAAGGGGCACCTTGTGACACAGGGGTGGTGCCCCTGCGGAGACTTAGCAGAGTTAATGTTCCGGGTCCGGAACACTGCTTGAGGCCCACCTGAGCTCCACACTCACCTGCACGACAAAGGAGGCTACAAATCCAGCAGCTGCAAACCCAAACAGCGAAGCCCAGGGAACCCGTCCGCCTGCAAAAGCACCAGATCACACTCCGGCAGCAAACTACTCGCTTCCCATCAGAATCGGAGAAGCCTGGCGACCAGGAGGTGGGCGGAGTCGCCAGCACGCAGAGAGGGCGGGCGGGCCCCGGGGTAGCCCCGCCTACCCGCGGACGGTCACACTGATGAACGCGACCCTCCGCCAATCGCCGGCCGCTTCGGTGACGGTGGGCGGGGGTTCAGCCAAAGGGGCAGTGGGCGTGGCCGGCTGTTCCGGCTCGGGCACTGGCCACCCTCCGGAGAGAGGTGAGAGGGGAGGGAGGGTGCACGGAAGAGCGGCACGTGGTTTCCGAGAAGTGATTGAGCGAGAAGCGCTACATTGGTGGCAGGAAAGCGAGAATCGAAACTAATGCACTGACGGCGCTGGAGGAATAGCAAAGTTGCTGGGCAGAAGAAGGTAGCTAATGTTAGTCATTGCACAAGGCGCAGCTGGTTCGAGCAGAGATAGTTCTAACACACCCAGAATAGATTGTTCATTACCACTCATACATCTTTTCTTCCCCTTGGGTCAACTTTATTCTTTTTATCTGTGCTATATGGAAGATGGAATAAGTTCTTAAGGGAGGGCTAGGTGGCATGGGGCTGTAAAGATTACAACTTAACGACGTGTTGCATATTAATATCTTTTCATTTTTCCTGTAAGGTTGGCACGAGTCTAGCACCAGCAAAACAAATTTCTGACTAATGTGATAATCCGCTCATCTAAGTGTCGTTTAAGTAAGATTTTCGTTTTGGTGTCTATCCCTTGTAAGTTAAAAAGCAGAATGTGCTGGAAGTACTCAGCAGGTGCAGGCAGTACCTGTACTGTGGAGAGGGGAACAAAAAGTTAACAATTCAAGTCTGCACCTTGTGTTGCCCAGTATTCATGGACGTCCGAAGGTACAATTTGAGACTGAGTACTCCCTCTCCAGATCCGCCTGAGGATGGATTCAATCGCGAAAAGGTTCAAGCAGTCACAGTGACTCTCTGTCTTGGCTGTGCCCATCCTGAGTATGTTATTAATCATCTTTCACAGGGCTAGAGGTAGATGTACAGAAAAAAATCACCTCTCTTAACTGGATGAGCAAAGATCAGCATGCAGAATACCTAGAGGTGTCTGTATGGAAGTTGAGGGATTGGAGATTCCACAGGATGGAATGACACTGTTTAAGTTGTGTCCTATATGTTCCCAGCCGAGCTCTCAGAGACATTTGTTAACGAAAAATTCCACCTGGCAGGATAGGATTGTCCTACACATGAGGTTCTTCATGAGGGAGAGTTGGGATTAAAGGTGACAACACGGTATGGAGCTGGAGGAACACAGTAGGCCAGGCAGCATCAGAGGAGCAGGAAAGTTGACAGTTTGGCTTGGGACCCTTCTTCTGGTGTTTTTTTTAGCCCCAGTATTTATACACATTTTAGACAAGGTGCCAAGCATCCAATGCTACTCATGACATTCAATCCGTTAAACAAACGCCATCGCTAACATCACTGAATCCTTCCTGTCTGCAATCTTCCTGACACCAACCCCCCAAAACTGGAACTGCACGTTCTGAAGCGGCAATTCCTTCAGGTTGTCTATCTTCTCTGATGAGGGGAATTTCTGCGGGGAGGTAACAATGTCCCACAATCTGTTCAGATTTCAAAAGAAAACTGCAATTCCTGAAAGTATATTGATATAACTTAGCAGAAAGGAAAATTTATATTTTACATTACTCCATCTTCAAAACAACGGTGTAAATTTAAATGATTTGCACTTAGTATGTTGATTTTATAAACAAACACAGAGAATGCTGAAGAAATTCAGCAGATCTGGCAGCACAATCCAGAAAGACAGATGGAATGAAGCACTAACTGTTTCTCGCTCACACACAGACCTACTGAGTTTCTTCCAGCATCTGCAGTACTTTGCTTTTCTTATTGGAGGAATTTATGCATGATAATCAGTAGATTTCACATTTAAATTATAAGGACATTGGTAGAAAGTAACTGCCATGTTTTGGTTTTGGTCTGCAAAAGACATTGAGTAAAGTAGGCTTCTGCTCCCCACTTTCCTGGATGGCTGTAGCTCCAACAATACTGAAGAAGCTTGACATCATTCAGAACAAAGCTGCCTGCTTGATTGGCATCACATCCACAAGCATCCACTCCCTCTACTATCGATGCTCAGTAGCACTATCTACAAGATACACTACAGAAATTCACCCATGAGTCTTAGGTAAAACCTTCCAAAACCATGACCACTTCCATCTAGAAAAACAAGTGCAACAGATATATGGGAACACCATCACTTGCAAGTACCCCCCAAGCCACTCACTATCCTGACTTGGAAATATATCACCATTCCTTCACTGTCGCTGTGTCAAAATCCTGGAATTCCCTCCCTAAGAGCACTGTGGGTCAACCTACAAAAAGTGGACTGCAGCGGTTCAAGAAAGCAGTTCACCGCCATTTTGAGATAGTAGGAACTGCCGATGCTGGAGTCTGAGATAACAAGGTGTAGAGCTGGATGAACACAGCAGGCCAGGCAGCATCAGAGGAGCAGGAAAGCTTTTTCTGAAATTTTTCTGAAGAAGGATCCAGACCCGAAACATCAGCTTTCCTGCTCTTCTGATGCTGCCTGGCCTGCTGTGTTCATCCAGCTCTACACCTTGTTATCACTGCCATTTTCTCTAGTTTCAACTAGGGACAGGCAATGAATACTTGCCAGCTAGCAATGCCCACATACCATGAATGAATTAAAAAAGACATTATTTTTAAATATTGGGTGTGCAAACCTATCTGATAAGTCATTGAGAGAAAGATTGGTTAAAATGTCAAAATTTAAATGCCTGTTATTGAAGTTATCTCTCCTCCAAAATGGTTGATAATAAACATTTTTTGACTATCTCAGTAATCACTAAATATTTCATGCTTAGAATTACTCAAAACTATTTTAATTCTAATGTTAAGTTCCATTTTTCTTTAGTTTTAACACTAATAGTGTCTCTGAAAAGAATTGGAAACTTCAAAAAAAAATTAGAAGGAGATTTTATTTCATAATTTGAGCACCACAACAAAAAAAATATAGTGCAAAACTAAATAAAGGCACAGATAAAGCACAGCCCAGAAATACTTGCTTAGTTATTGGCACTGAAAAATCTTTGGGAATTGATTAGTATGAATGATTTTTTTAAAAATAAGTTTGGTTGTGCTGCAGCAATTTAGTAGCTTAAAGATACATCTTGCTTCAGGTTTGACATTCAATTCAAAATTAAATTACAATCATTTCTGACAAATACTTGTGGTAGAATATAAAGTATAAAATACAAAACAGTTTGAACTCAGTTTAAACTGTTTCTGTGTATAACTTGGCAAATTAAAGCAAATTATCAATGTAGACAACATGTTTTGTGTTTTGAAATAAAGAGAGAACACAGCCATGATGGATTAAACAATGTAGAATCGCATTTGACTTGCATGAATTTTATGGCAAAATTACTTAACTGTGATGGTCTTTGTATCCCTGGTATAGTACAAATTAGTATACTTTTGTTTTAATAGCATACATCTTTTTAAGTTCTTTCAAACTCCTGCCATGGTAGTTTAGTTTAAAATGCCAAATCATTTGGACAGTTATTCTTCACAAGTATTCCTGTAGCTTGTTACTTGAGCATATAAGTTACCCACACATTGCAAAGATTAAGCTCAAGTATATTGTGAAGTCTAGGATTCTCTCAGTGTAAACTTGCAGGTTGAGTCAGTAGTTAGGAAGGCAAATGCAACTTTGGCATTTATTTTGAGAGGACTTGAATATAAAAGCAGGGATATACTTCTGAGGCTCAGTAAGGCTCTGGTCAGGCCACATTTGGAGAATTGTGCACAGTTTTGGGCCCCATATCTCAGGAAAGATGTACTGGCCCTGGAGCGGGTTCAGAGGAAGTTCACGAGAATGGTCCCAGGAATGAAAAGCTTAACATATGAGGAACGTTTGTGGACTCTGGGTCTATACACAATGGAGTTTAGAAGGATGAGGGGGGATCTAATTAAAACTTACAGAATACTGAATGACCTGGGCAGATTGGATGTTGGAAGATGTTTCCATTCATAGGAAAGACTTAGGACCTGAGGGCACAGCCTTAGTCTAAAGGGAAGACCTATTAGAACAGAGATAAGGAGTAACTTCTTCAGTCAGAGAGTGGTGAATCTATGGAATTCACTGCCACAGAAGGCTGTGGAGGTCAGGTCATTGGGTATATTTAAGACAGAGACAGATAAGTTCTTGATTGTCAAGGTGATCAAGGGTTACGAGGAGAAAGTGGGAGAATGGGGTTGAGAAACTTATCAGCCATGATTGAATGGCAGAGCAGACTTGATGGGCTGAATGGCCTAACTTATGCTCCTATGTCTTATGATCTTATTTGTACTGAGTTAGTGACAGGAAAACATGCTATTGGATGTATGTGCTGTTTGTCATCTACATTTGGCATCGAACATTCATGTGAATCCATAAAAATCAGACAGAATTCTCCATTTTAAAGTTGAAACGTGGGGTTCAGTTTTTAATAATATACCAAGCACTATGATCCCACTATTCTTTCTCATACTCATTGTTCTCTTCCAGCATCTTTTCCTGAATTCTATCTTTTCCTCCAAAGTTTCAATATCTTATATTGTTCCTAATCGCTCTTGCACGTCACTTGCTTTGCTGGGGGTTTTCCAAGTTTCATATTCTTCTGAACAAGAGTCAGACTGGACTTGAAACATAACCTTTGTTTCAATCTCCACAGACTCTGCCAGAGCAGCACTATTGAGCAGATTAGACAAAGCTTTAAAGCAAACTACATAAGCAGTTGCTTGTGGTTTTACGTCATTACACTTTCTAACATGAATTCAACATTTTTGATGCATAATTATAATTGTCCTATTATTACATTAATCTTAGAAACAAACAGAAAATATTGCTTCACCAGCTGAGTAATTATACGACTTTCCGTTTCGCTTTTGGATCTTGACTTCTAGCACAGTTTATTGTTTGTCTTTTCTATCACATTGTTTTAAATGGGTTCAAACATAATAGTAGCCATGCACTAATGCCTTCTGTGAAAACAGAATCTACAGTGT